TTTCCATCTTTTTTGAAACTCAGCTAATACTCATTACTCAACACCTACCCTTAATCACTAAAGACACATTTACATTCATCAACATCACCAAATGCAAAACCAATCAACACCAGATGCTCGTCACTGCAGACGTCACCTCACTCTACACAAACCTGATCAACAAACGCTTTATCGCCATCGTAGAAAAATCCTCAAAAGATACATGCCACAACCTATACAATTGCATGACAATCAAATTCCGACAAACCTCACTTGATAACAATGATTTCACCTTCAACAACCAACAATACCTACAGACAAACGGTTGCGCAATGGGAAAAATATTCTCTCCAACACTAGCCAATCTTTATCTACATCACCTAGACGACACTCTCAACAAACACTTCAAACAACACATCAACAAATACAACAGATACATTGGACATTTTTTTCACATTCACTGACACCACACAACTCAAAAAAATAATGACCATTGCAAATAATTTTATTCCTTCGATAAAACTAACCATTGAAACCATAGACTTCTATATAGTAAAAAAAGTCCACAACTTCAAAAATATTTACAACTTAAAGTAAAAAATTGTTTAAATACCCATTTTTTATAAAAATTTTATTTTGTCGATGAAATACATTGAGGTACTTACTGTTCAAATTTAAAAAAAATCGGAGATGGTCGGGCGTGGACTTTTTTTTAAATCGTTCAAGTTGACGGAGAATGACCGATATGGTATTGTGTTATGTTGAATTTCTTTATTATTATTGAAAAAAAATCGTTGATTTGTACGTCTCTGATTAGCTTGTTAATTCCCTCTGTTATTTCTGTTGTTCTTATTTTCTTCAGTGTGATGACAAATCCTAGGCTTTTACTGAGAATGTTTGCGTGATGTTCAGTTATTTTGTGTTGTGACAGGTTAAAGATATTGTTGTGGTGTGCTCTGTTTGTGGAAGCGCTGTCATTATAAGTTTTTTGGTTGTTGCAGATTGTACGTACTCTTCCTGTACGCCTCCATGAAGGTACGCACACAGGTGCAATCTTCATTGTTTTTACATAAGTTGTTGCTTGTCGACTGGCGTTTCATAAAAGATGATAGTATTTGTAGTTTGGTCGTGCCGGCCCTCTGAGCCCAGTTCGTGACTGTCCTGACTCGCTTCGAAATATTGTTTCCCGCAAGAACTGAGGCGAACAATGCGGCCCAAGAGGCCTCTGTCGGAAGACTAGCTGAGTTGATAACCCGGGTCGCGATCCAAGCCACTTCGTCACTGTAGATTTCCATGTTTGAAAGACCGAGTTCCAGCTGAAGGCTCCGTGTGGCTTTAACGCTAAATTGGCGAGTCATATCACCTTTCTTAGCGAGCGCCAATACAAATGTGAATTGAGCGCTCATGTAATGTTCTGCTTGAGCTGCTAGTGCCTGTGGAAGTGTTACCGTTACTATGTCGCCCGCCCAAGTTGCAGCTCCACCGCCCGCTCCGTAGGTTCTGACTAGCTGATCCTGGAATGTTGTCCCAGAAGGTGCAGCTGGATCAATTTCAGTTGCCGCTGGGAGCACGACCGCAGCTCCAGGGGCTACAGCAGGACGAGACCTTACTATGAGAGGACAAGCCGAATCTAAGATTGCCTCCAGGTAACTGATTAGTCTTATTCGCTCAGTACTGTCCGTCCATGCTGTCTTTCTGGCTCCAAGATGACGAGCTTTTAGGGTGTTGAACAGGAATGCAACTGCGAACATCCTCGTGTCGGTATTGAGCGCCGCCCACCCCGGCATCGCACTGGATGTGTACCCGGTCCATAAACTCGGGGCCGCCTGCACTATGAGGTTGAGTTGTCCCCCTCGCAAGAATGGGATCGCTGCGGCCATCATAAGCACAATTGCTTGCTACCGCGGGAATCACAATGTGGGAAGCTACTACAACAGCACTTGATCCGGATAGAAGAAACTCAATGCGAACACTAAGAAAAGTAATAGGCAAAAATAATCAAGTGAAGGTATTTTAGATGTTGTCCACGTTGCAATATGAATCTTGATATGGTAGGATGCTGTTGACAATATCGAGCGTCATCCAAGGGCGGATCCAGGAAGTTTGACTGGGGGGGGGGCGAAAATTTTTAAATAAATATTTTGTAATGTTGAATATATCCATTTTTGATTATAAATTTTAGAATGCAAATTAATTGAATAATATAATGTTTTATGTTTACTTTGATCTATTTATAATTTTTATTACAAATGATCAAAGGAAAATTATGAACGCACCCACGCGGCAAAATACACTTGAAAATTTTTTGAACGCTTCTTCCGTCTGATTTTCATTTTAAAAATTCAAATTTGAGTTGCGCTAGTAATAGTACTGTATAAGTATCATAATTCATAATCATATTTTCAGTTTTTTTAGAAGATTAATTTAAATATATATGGATCGTTTTGTGAAGCGAACTAAAAGGGCACATCCACCAGGTTAGATCACCATACGATATGAATTTGTTCACTAGTAGCATAGAAATTGTTAAATAAGTGTTCAGAGTTAAGTTAAATTTAGTTTATTTTTTTAGAACTACATGAAGGCGATAGTTCCGATAATCATAATGAAAAAGTGATTGTTAAAAATGATGAATCATTTGAGCAAGTAGCTTTGCACGATAATGACGAAGGTAACAAGATAAAGAATAATGAAAAAGTCTATCAACAAATGGATTTTGTACATAATAATGATATTGGACTGTATGTGGGCAGCAGTAATAAAACAATTAATGATGATATAAAATTTGAACTTCTACAAAATCCATGGAAACCAGAATTTGGCTACAAATTTCCGTATTCAAATCATATTAAAAATGGTAAAAATGAAAAACGGTACATTTAGAAAAGTCACTTGGAAACATTTAATGCATGGTTGACATACTCGCATGTGGAACAAGGTTTATTTTGCAGGTATTGTGCTCTAATGGCTGACACCGGCGGTATTAGTAATCAAACGCCATTGCAAAAATTAGTAAAAAAACCACTTACATCATTTGCAAAATTATTAGGCAAAGATGGTGATCTCAGCTGTCATGAACAATACAGGTATCACAAAGAGTCAGTTCAGAGGGGCAATGATTTTGTCAAATAACAAAATCCATCATTTGAAGTTGTTAATCAACTCTATTCCGCAAGATATCAGCAAATGAAGGAAAACAGAGAAAGATTGAAGCCCATAATTAAATCTATTATTTTTTTGGGAAAACAAAATATTCCTCTACGAGGACATCGAGATGACGGAAAACTTAATATAAGTACTAATGATGCAGGCGATGCTGATAATGATGATGATGAAGATGATGAAAATTTGGACAATGACATGCTTAATGAAGGGGTATATGGTACCGGTCCAGTTAGAAATGAGGGTAATTTCAGAGAACTACTTCAGTTTAGGGTCGATGCTGGAGACCATGTTCTTGAAGAACATTTAAAATCATCTAAATCAAATGCGACATACATAAGCAAAACGATTCAAAATAAAATCATAACCACAATTGGCGATATTATTACAGATACTATTGTACAGAGAGTTAAAGCAGCCAAATTTTATTCAGTTTTATTTGATGAAACAACTGACATATATGGTATTGAGCAATTGTCTTTGAGCTTACGATATGTTTACAACGGCCAGGTTAGAGAAGATTTTGTTGCATTTGTGGATTCTCTAGAGGATGCATACAAAGATATAGAATCGGAACCAAAATTAACCGGAAAAATGTTAGCCGGCTCAGTGTTACGTTTATTAAAAGCGCTAACTTTAGATCCACAGCATTGTGTTGGTTGTGGAACAGATGGATGTTCTGTCATGACATCTCAGTCATGTGGTGCAGCTGCAGAAATATCAAAAAAAGCTACATCATGTATTCATTGTGTTTGTACTAACCATGGACTGAACTTGAGTTTATCTAAAACATCCGATGTACAAGCCATAAGAAATGCAATGGGCACTATGAGGCAAACGGCTTCCTTTTTTCGCGCATCGGCCAAAAGAAAATTAGTGCAAAGAATAATGTTTAAAAATGAAAGTCAAAATTTGAGACAAAATGTCATGCCTTTATGTGAGACACGTTGGGTTGAACGCCATGATTCGATTATCAGTTTTAGACAGTCCCTGCAATATGTTCTAGCTTCTTTAGAAAATATTGCTAATTGGCATGACAGAGAAACATCATCCAAAGCAAAGACGTTGTTATCGGCTTTAACTGATTCTGAATTTTTAATAGCTTTGTACTCAATTGCCGATCCATTAATTCTAACTAAGCCACTAAGCAAAGTTTTACAAACAGAAAATTTAGATTTGGTCGAGGCAGCTCAACATGCTAATAGAGTCATAGATAATCTTCAATCTAGAAGAGAAAATGTTGAGCAAATATTTCATGATATCTTTACGAGAGTTTCTAAAGTTGCAGAGGAACTGAATATTGAATTAAAAATGCCAAGATGTATAGAAAGACAAGTAAATCGTGCAAATATTAAAAGTAACTCATTAGAAGAATATTTCAGGATTGCTATATTTATTCCCATGCTAGATAGTATGATAACAGACATGAAATCAAAATTTGGAACAATACACATACATATAAAATTATTTACATGCATGAAATAGAATGCTCATAGTTGCAATTAATATATACATACATATATATATATATATATATACTATACATATATATATACATGGGGTAAGACTTTTCCTTTTTCCTCTAAGAGAAAAGTTCGATTAAATCACATTTATGCTGTAAAACTAAGATTTTTAAAATTCCAGAAAGATCACTCAGTATTTTATATAAATACATAATTTTAACAAATAAAAACGACCCAATGAAAAATTTTTGCCATTAAAACTTTTTTGATAAAGGGGCTTCTCCCAGCATTGGGGCTAAACGCCTAAATGTCAATGTCATAGATAGTGTTTAAAAATACATTGGTAAATCTCAATTATAATAATGGTGGTGATGCATCCGTGGGAAAATGTGTTGTTGTGTGGTGTCCAGGTGGATTTAATGTGTTTTTTAATGCGTTAAGGAATACGTTGGGGGGTTGTTGAGTTGGTGGATGTTCGTAAAATCCCGGATTTTTAAGTCCCGAATGATTTTGCTGATGACGTCGTTAATTTTGTTTTTGTGGATAACGTTACTGGGAACGAAGCCTAGTTCGTGGTTGAGGATGTCGATTTGTTCATTAGTGAGTGTCACTTTGGAAAGATTGATGATGTTGTTGGCGAGTGTGTTGGGATTTGTTTAGTTGCTGTGATTGATGCTTTGATTGTAACAGTTGTTGATTTAACAGTGGTTGTGGGGGCTGTCGTTGTGTATTTGCTATCGGCTCAGTTTTAGATGCTTGACTACTATCGGATGTAGACCATCGTCAGCTTCTACAGTTTACAAAAGCATGTCAAGAGTTGAATATTTAAATTGTTCAGCAGCATCGTGTGTGCATAGCGTATGCGCCGGTCTTTGTTCCTCAACTATAACTGAGCCATAGTTCAATTTCAACGCGTCCGGTTTATCTTGGAGTTATTATTATTAGTATAATTCTGATTATAATTATTGTTAAAATTAAATTATTACGTTTCAATTTTATAATGTTATTTGATTACTTTGCCATCTCTAACCACGTCGCTTTTAAAATGGCGTACCCATCAGTTGCTGGACTGAAGATGGTTGACCTTGTTCTGGCACTACATTCTATAGAGGACGCTATAAGATGGGCGAAGGAGCATGGTTTGTTGGCCTGACATAAAAGCTGTCGGTGTGGCTTCAACATGAGCTTTGTGAAATTGAAAAATGCTGCTGACAGTGACAAATGATGGTGTCCAAATCGAGATTTATTATAGATGGCAGTTTCTACACCAAAAGCAAAATACCTCTAAGAAAATGCATATCGGTTAGTTTAATATAATACCATTAATTTTAAGCAAATTTTTTTAAAAAAGTAAATAAATTCTCGTTTTATAATTATTCTTATAGTTCAACTCACATTATCATTTAATTAATAGGTCACTTTCTTCTGGTAGCTGAACGACGTCAGCCGGCGTACAGTGGCTCAGCTACTATAGCAGTGTGTGACAAACACGTTGCCAGATTGGTTTAATTTCCACAGAGAATTGTGTCTGAACTGGGTACGTGATAATTTCGTCCAAATATGACCAGGGTACATTGTGGAAATTGTTGAAAGTTGTATATCAACGGCCAAACGAAGTGGCTTAAAGCTGCATTTTCCTATGCTAATTAAAGGGTTGACAGATGGTTCACAGGGAAAGTTCACACTTTTTGAACCCAAAATGAAGAAATATTTTGAAAATTTTAGAGATGTCAATCCGAAAATGGCGTCGAAAATGTTATGTGTTGTATGATCACGCCACCGGTTATCCTTTATTCCGGGTGAAGGAGTTTGAGAAGATGGGAATGATGCAACCAGAAGTTGAACATAGTGTGTTGGATTGGAGTTGATTCAATACCATCCATCGTCACCCTCGTTTCTTTCTGTCCGTTCTGGAGTGGAGCCAATGCTCTGGACAACATGAACAGCATTAGTGAAGGCATTGTACACTCTGTTTTAAAAGTGTTCATAGAAACAAATGTACCCCAGTCGGAGAGAAATAGACAAAATCAATTCTAGGAGTCTAGAACAACAAGTTGGCAGCCTCCATTTCAAAAAAGTTGGGATACATCTTCAAGTTGAGTCAGTTTTCGTAACTCATCTATGGCCATCTGTCGTTGCTCGGCATTCATAAATTTCTCACCAAATTTCAATCTTGGATCCAGAATAGTAGCCATTTGATGTTCTAAGGTAATGTGAAACTTTGCATCTAACATTTCTAATAAAGTTAACTTAAGAGATCTGATGTCGCTTGAATCATTCTCTTTAACTGAGATACCTTGAATAAGCTTGTATTTTGTTGGAAGTACCAACTGTATCGTTGGCTTACTACTGCTTGAGAGAACTTTAGTAGCAACATCAAACGGTGATAACACTGAGATAAGGTTTTCCAATAGTGGCTCATTTATGTCTAAAATACATCGCGCTACATTTCGATTTGCAGTTTCAGTGACTAATGACTTCAGCTCTGCCATATTTACTTGCACTGAATTCAACATAGTTAAAATGCTGTTACATCTTGTAGGCACTGACTGTTTCAATGAAGTCTTCAGCTTTTTATTTAACTTTGTTCTTTTTATTAACGTAACTAATTGTTTCACAGTTTCAAGTAATTTTCTTATCTCTGGCGATAAGCTTCCCTTTTCTTTGTCTGTGAATGTATTGCTTAAGACCAGATTTATATTGTGTCCAGCACACCCTAACCAATTGTCTTCAGAAAATGCATTCTTCATATTAGAAGCATTATCTGTGACAAAGATATTTGTTGGTCGACTGCACTTAAATTCTTAAGGTATATCTTTTACCATGACTTTAATGTTAACACCCGTGTGAGAATCATCCATTCCGGGTGTTGCGATAGTGCAGGATTTTAAAACCCAGTTTTCAATATAGTTTATAGTGACGCCCAAAAATGATACACTTCGGTTTTCGTATGTCCATAAATCAGTTGTCACTCCAAATGACTTCACACTTGTGAGAGTGTTCGGTAGCTTTTCTTTTTTCATGTCGTACTGCATTTCACTATGTCTCGAAACTGTGTTTGCAACTGGCAAAACATCATCTAATGAAACATTTCCATATGTTGCTCCTATTGAAAGCAATTTTCTTGCAACAGATCTAAATCCTTGACCTTCAACTGTTGTAAATGGTCGGATATCTACTGCACACATAGTTGCCAATTCATCAGCCATTTCAGATTTAATTGAAGCCGGGATAGAGTTAGAGCTTGGCAAGCCAAATCCCGTTTCCGTTAGTTTTCGGTTCTGGGCAACTGCATTAAAAAAATAACTTCTTATAGCACATGCTTACAATTTTTATTTACTATACTAATTGTATTACTTATTACACATGTGTAATGGTAATGTGATGCATTCTAATTATCATTAAATAAATTACTAAAAGTTATTAAGACATCTTATTTATGACTAAAAATTACTAAAAAAATTAATTACCTTCGGTTGTTTTGAGGCATTCTTTGGTATGATTCATTAAGCCACTAGTACCATCTCGCTTTTCCATGCCAGAAGAGCATCACATTTCAGGCATTTCAGGTAACCACAAAACGTTTGGTTCACATTCACCATGACAAAATTCTCCCACGCCTTACTGTGCGTATTCTGATTTACCAAATACGTTATTCGCTGACTTTCGGAAGATATTAACTTGTTGACTGCCGATTTGTCCATATTTGCCAAACTACTAACACGAGATCGTCGTCGAAATAAAAACAAAATGAAACAGCTGCATACTTAATATAATTTGGTCACGTGTCCTTTCGTGTTATCACAATGAATATTATTTAGCGTAATGCATATGCATCTGTGAGCTTAGCTTTAAACTTAGTAATAATTAATAGTAATAATTAGGGATGCACCGGATTCAGGTTTTTCAAATACCGCCGGGGCCGGATTTAAAATTCAAAAACCGGCCGGGGCCGGATTTTAGTTACCATTTTACATACGTTAGCAAAAATACTCACATTTACGGTTATCTACATGTTGAACCTTTCTTTCTTCTTTATCGCTTGGTCTGACTCTATGTGTCTTAAACTTAATCCTTCTAAGTTTGAATTAATTTGTTTTAATAAATCTAAACACTCTATTACTATTCCTCCTATTATCTTACCTGATTCTCTCATAAGTTTAGTAGTCTAGGTTTTATCTTTGATTCTACTATGTCTCTTTCTTCTTAGATTAATAGTGTTGCTAGAAGCTCTTACTTTCATCTACGTAGAATAAAAAACTTTTGCCTTTTCTTGATGATCCTACTCTTCTCCTTCTTGTTACTTCGTTAGTCTTATCTAGGATTGATTATTGTAACTCGCTCTACTATGGTCTTCCTGGCTCTATACTCTATCCTTTAAGTAAAGCTTTTAACTCTGCTGCTCGTCTAGTTGCTCGTGCCCCTTTCTTTTCTCATATATCTCCTTATCTTGTTCTCTTGCACTGGCTACCTTTAAAATATAGAATAAATCTTAAAATTTGCACATTATGTATAAGTCTCAATCTAAATTATTTCCTAAGTATTTATCAGATATATTAATTGAACCTAAACGCCCCGGTTTACGATCGTCTTCTTGTTCTCGCTTTTTCTTAACTCGTGTTAAACACTCTTTTGCCAAATCTGCTTTTGCTTTTTCTAGTATTTTTCTCTGGAACTCTCTACCTACTTTTCTGACTACTTCTCCATCACTTGCGAAGTTCAGAGCGGATCTCAAGACCCATCTGTTTTCAAAATTCATTGAGGAGCGCTGTTGAACATCGCGGAAATAGCGCTTTATAAGCTAATTGATTGATTAATTGATTGATTGAACCTCAAAAAATAACACCAAGCAAATAGTTAATTAATTCAAATATATGAATAAGCTGTGTGATACGCCAAATTCTGTACACAAAGATCAGCTTATAATTTATGCATAACCCATGTTATAGCATAAAGAAAATTGTCCAGCTCACCTCACAATTAGTGATGTTGTTATTATGTGTCATGGCATGCCTAGCCTAACCCTTAACATACCATGTTCTTAAATTATGCGCTTATGTATCTATATATATATTAATATATATTATGTAGCTATATATATTTTTATATATTATGTAGCTATATGATCCGTCATATACAATTATATAGTATATACACGTGCACAAGTTCTTTTACACAAAAGTTAGCTTATAATAATAATTTAACTTTTTCAATTGCGTTGCTGTTCAAGCTATGAAGTTTCTCATTAATTTTCAACATTTTTGGAACTTCGCCATCAAAGTCAATTCAATTGCGGTTTTCCCTCTAAAATCTTTCCCGTCCCGCGGTACTTCCCGCAGGAAAAATATCCGCCCCGCGGTTTTCCCTCGCTTTTCATTCCCGCCCCGCAAGTTTCCCTCCAACTTCTGTTCTTAACCCGCAGTTTTACCGCGGGTATTTGCGGGAAATTTTCCATGTAGACCTCTAATGCATACCAGCATTGTGTCTGAAATTTTTAGAGATTTATGGCTGCATTTTCTAAGCTAATTAAATGATTGACAAATGTTTCAAAAGAAGATTTCACATTTTTTTGAACCCAAAATGAAAATATTTTATGATGCATTTATTTGTCAGCTTTATTTTATACCTATTTTTTGAATGTTTGCAGTTATTTAGTTGATTTAGTTTAGTTTTTAGTAGTTTAGTTTAGATTTTATTTATGTGTAAGTTAGCATGTATATTTATATATATGTGTTCGCATATATATTTGACTATGTTATTATATATATGTTATGTATATGTGTAGTTATATAGTATATAAATACATGTGTTATATGAATGAATATATATATTTAAACAATTATTGATAAAATCGCAGCATGTTCGGCGTTAGTTAACTTCCCGTTAAACTTATCGATTTTTCTAATGTTTGACCGTAAATCATTCTCAAGCTTCTTGAGCTCAAAACCAAAGTTTTTGTTTATTTTATTTTTATAAAACTTATCTAGAAACTAACATTTCTAACAGTCTTAATCCAATATTTATGTATGTTTATATATATTATGAAAAATTTTATTTATTTTTTCTTTTATTTTTCTTCTATTCATTACTTTTTTCTTATATTTCGTAGAATATTATTTTATATACCTCAACTTTCAATCTATTATATTGTTTATAATAAATTCTTTTTTTCATTATCTTATTTATTTATTTTATACTTCCAATTTATCATTATTATTGTTTTACCATTTGTAAAATCAATCAATCTTCGTTTAGCGTCCAGAGACCCGGTTCCCCGAGGTTTGTAATACCGCTCAAACTTATTTTACTGTTCCACTTTACCCACATGTCTTCACCAATATTTTTTTTGTATTATTTTGTTTTTATTGGTTTTAAATTCATATTTTATTTTCGTACCTTGCATGTTGTTACTTCCTCTGCGTCTGACGGTTTGATTTACAGAATAAAAAAAGTCACTACTATTCCATTTTTAATAAAAATTGTATCCATTTTGGAAAGGTTTAGTTTTATATTTACGATTTTTCAACAAAATATGTATTCATCCGTTAAAAATCCGTCAAGAATAACGAAATTCTATAAAATGCATTATAGAAGGGACATCAACTGACCAAACCAAATGTGTTTCAGTTCCACCGGTGGCAAGACGTCTGCAGAATTAAGCACATAGTAACTTAGAAAAATAGTTTTTCGTTTTATTTATAACCGTAAAATATAATTAACATGCTTTAAATATTTTTCCACCAATAATTATTGCATTTTCAATTGCGCCAGGAACGGCTGTGTCGTAAAGAAGTTATAACATTCAATTGTACCATTTTAGATTGTGGCGATTTAGACATAGTACATCTAATTCGTAGAGTTCTTACATTTTTAAGTTAATATGCATACATTTGTTCATAATTTCACATATAACCCGATTGTTGCAAAGTTTTCTTCTGTAATCTAATTTTTCGATATTTTTTTAAAAATATATAAAAATGTTTAAATAAGTTGACAATGTCAGGAATTATAATCTGTGAAAACAACTTAAAAAAGAGCAAGGTTCCAGAATTCCTGAGACAGACCTTTTACCGCTTAACGGAAATTATACTTTCCTGTGCCGACGCACCATTTTACGAGAAGCCAAGAAAAATCGTGGCTGCTCTATAGAAAAGCGAGGAAAATAATACTGCCCTACGCCAACAGTCAACTAGGATTGGATACGTGTCCGATATGCGCGCTTAAATTCAAACTGCTTGATGAAATTATAAAAATTGGATGCGACCATCACTTCCATCGGGCATGTTGACGTGATTTCTCAGGAACGACAATTGTCCAGCTTGTTGGCAACATAAAGGAAGTGCAACAGCAACAACGTCATGCCTGTTGGACTCCAGTGATGAGTGAGCTTGAAAATAACCAATGTCCTAAAACCTTTGACAAAATTGTTGAAAATTAGCAGATTTAACTGTTGACGCATTTGCAAATTTGCTTTATTTATAAAAAAAATGTGCAAAAGCAATCCTAACGACTGTGCGAACAGCGCTACGTTAGTGACGCGCATCTAGCAAATTTGAGTCATCCGACTACTACTCTATACATACTCAGTAAACCAAACGTCAAAACTTTTCTGTTTAATAACTTTTAAAGGTTTTCAAATTCATAATAACGCCCCTTGCAAGTCTCGCATGTTTTTTTTATAGCGCAAAGGCCTATATATCTGATTCCACATAAAAGCAAATCTTAATCTGGTCTAACCAGTTTAATAGCGATTGTTGTCTTTCCATCAATCAATGATCCTCTTTTGTCTATCGGGGGACCGTCGCGGCCGATGGTGTACATCTAAGCATGCTTTTTACATTTCTTATCTTTTTTCTTTCCAAAAACCTTTTCTATCTTTGGCCAGTTTCATTGAATTCAGAATACCAACACCAGTCCATTCATTAATGTCGTCTATCCATTTCTTTGCAGGTCTGCCAACTATTTTCTTCCAATCTCTTTTCCTCTTTAGTACCATCTTAATCAATCTGTCTTCTTTCATTCTACAAATGTGTTCAAAAAATCCCAATTTTCTTTCTCTGAATTTGTCATATACACTTTTTTGTCTTCCAAGTTGATTTATGATGGTTTCGTTCTTTACTTCTTAAGTCTGTCTTTGTCTCTTTTCTTTATTGCCCATGTCTCACATGCATAGAGCAAGCTCGGAAAAACTCAAGATTCTATCGTTCTCAAATTTGTTTTTATAGATATATTTCCACTTTTCCATATTCCCTTCAATGATGTGAACATTCCAAGGGCTATTGCTATCCTTCTGTCAATTTCTTTTGTGCAGTTCTTGTCACAGGTTATAAAAATGCCATGATACCCAAACTGGCCTACTTGTTCGAGTTTTTCTGATTCTATCTGAAAATCCGCATTGTTTCTGCCTTTCCCGTAATCATCACCTTCGTTTTGTCTTTGTTGAGATGCAACCCGTAATCTTTTCCACCAACATGTGTTAGTTCTATTAGCTTGTGTAGACCTTCTCCACTGGAAGCTAGAAGATCTATATCGTCTGCAAACCTGAGATCTTTGACAGTTCTCCTTCTTATGTCAATTCCACCCAATTCCGAATTTTCCATATCTTTATTTAAACATCGTCAACGAATCATCTTTTATATGGAAAAAATGCATACAATTTCAAGAGAAAAATGAAATTTTGAAATTGATTTAAATAAAAATTTCCTTTTCTTAAACATATTTTATTTATTTATACATATTTAGTATATATATATTATCGAAACTTGATATACGTACAAACTAAGAATAGCAAAAAAATATACTGATTAAAACATAATAAACATGCATAAAATAATAAACATTTATAAAATAACATAAAACAAAGTAATAAATTAAGACAGAAAAAAATTATGTAAAAAATCGTTTGTATGCTAATAAAGATGCTGCAATGAACGTGATGATGGCGAGTTTGCAGAAAGGTGTTGCATTCGGCAGCTCATTCGTCGGCTGGGCCTCCTCGTTGGCGTAACAAGTATCGACAAGATCCTTGTCCGTAACGCATTCGGGTGAAACATTGTAAAGCACCTTAATTTTTATACAAATTAAACCATTTTTATGCATTTTAAAAATAAATTGTCGAGGATGCTTCAACGTTGCGAAATGAACTTTAATTTTCCCAAACAAGCTTTACTGCGATTATCGATTTTTATCAGCAGAAAATATATGGCGTTGCCGATTTAAAACATAAGCTAAATCTATAGAGTAACAAAGTACAGTACGGACCTCATGGGCTGCTCTGTGTCCTGCCTGTACAGCTCCATTCAGGAAACCACACCATCTTGATGCACTTTCAGTTCCCGCAAAAAATACTCTAAAAATTGTTTTTGTAAAGTTATTTAAAAAATTAGAAACTCGTCCATGAAAAAATATGCCTGAATTTTCGCTACAAAGCGAAAAATTCATCAAATATTAAAAATAAAGAACGATTATATATTTTATTATTAGTTTATTAATTTATTACACTTATTTTAAAGACTTATTGAAAAGTAGAAAAAAAGAGTGAATTTAAAGCGAGGACAGTGATTGGTGTTTATTCAACATTAACTTTGATTAAGCATTCTTTCGAAGATTTTTTGGATTTTATATTGGACATTTGTTGCTAGGTCGGTTATAATAGATGAGCACGATCCATTAAACATTTCATGTTTTTTCTACAAAAAGAAAAGTTCCCACATCCCCAGAAAAACTTTTTTGTTAAAAATGGCAATAATTCAGCAAAAATTCGATTCCCACCTGTAGAATGGTCTGGAGAGCGCAGTGTGAAGAGTTGTGCAGACTCCCGGTGTGGCCACATTGACAGGACAGCCACCATTATAAGCTTCCTCGTTCCAGTTTTTCTCCATATAGTCTAAAGGATGAAGTGCCTCGGCTCCAAAAAACGAAGCCAATGTTTCAAGCACCAAACTCTTGCGACTGCTCTCCTTTAATATTGAAAATTTTAAATGGAAGGAAATCAAATAAAACAAAATTCCGAAAGTCAATAATTAAAAATTTTCTGAAGAAATATAATTTGCACTAAAAGTTCCGTTCAACGTTAAGAGAGGCATTCGGAGAACCACGCACTCGTACAGCATAATCGTTTTAAATTGAGTAGCTTGCAATATTACGTTAATAATTGTAAAAGGTATCAAGTTTAAACAACGAACTCGAACCTACGTAACGTAACACTGTTGAAACATAATATTCTATAGATTAATCAGCTGTTTTTGCTAGCGACACTAATAAATTTTTATATATATACGTTAGGATGTAAGCAAGTCCAAGCATTGTGTTTTGAACTAACTGCAATAAACCCGAAACCAGTCAAGTAAGGAATCAATCGTGTAAAGAACTAATTAAATATAGCGCCAATCAGACAGGCATACTCGTTAACATCATCACAACAAATGATTTCATTTGTTGTGATGATGTTCATGATCATAACAGCATCATAAATTTTATTGACATTATAAAGAGAGTACCTGGACAGAAGAGAATTTGATTTGTTGCGTGCCACCAACGAAGGCAACGAGGGCGGGATTTTTGTTTGCCGATGTGGCATCGAACACAACACACAGTGGGTGAGCGCCATTGGCTCCTGATGTCAACACTTCACCCGAGAAACCATTCTTCTGCCAGAAGGCCTGCATGCACCAGTTTCAATTAATTCAAGATAAGAAATCACAAACATACCTAACAAAATACGATAATATATTTCTATAAAACTCACCTCAGCGTAAGTTACAATAATCTTTGTTAAGCAACCGACAGGCATTCGTTGAAGTACATTAAACTTTTGCAATGGCAAGCAAGGATTGAATGATATTTTACCTTGAAAAAATTAAAATACAAGAAGAAAGTTTTTAAAGTGAAAATGCGCAGAACAGACAAGCCTTACATATTTCATTTGGAGGTATGGCGAGGATAACATATTGGCAAACAAAAACAGTTCCATTCAGAACTCTCACATGCACATGCTTGTCTTGCTTCTGTCAACATTTTCATCAGTCAACAACTAGTTAGCTAAGAAATGAATGTAAAAAAATCAATTCAAAAATATTAAAAAATATTAAATAAAACGGATCTGCCCTTACTCTCTTTCTCTCCCTCTTTCTCTATCACAAACACACACAATACATTCAACGCATGAATGCATGTAGATGTATATATTCAGGTATGCATGTATGAATGAATGCATGGTGCATGAAATGAAGGTGTTGATACTTGATCAATGGACACTACGGGGGATGAGGTATTCAGTGTGTCACCGGGAATTTGTTTCATCAGCTCGTGACATATCTGCCATGCTCCACCCTACAATATGCATTCAATGTTATAACTCCAAATTAATAAAGTCAAACTCATTCTTTGAAACATTGCATAATTGTGGATACAAAAAATTAGTAACATTAATTTTCAGTTCCTGTGCTCCAAAATTTTTCTTGCAACTCAGGAGTGCTTCAAAATTGTTAGACCTGTGTGCGTACATAAGGAAATAAAGCATGGACATGTGGACAGGATCGCTTCCAAATATACATCTGCAACAAGAGTCTAGAGCATTTTTTGCACCTTAATAATTAATGTAGGTTTCAAATTATCTCGAAAAGATTTCAAATTTTCTGTTTATTTTTGTTTATTTTATTACAATGAACAGATGCATATATCTTGTATCATTCGTCGTATACTATTAAAATGTCGTTTGTGATTATTTTGCTAAAGTGAAGTAGAGCCCACCTTGAGTCCAGAAATATGACCGCTTGAACTGCTCAACAGTCATGCCATCAAGTTTTGCCACCAAACCACTGGACATGAAGACTTTAGAGTCCATCTTCTTAATGAAATAGGAAACCTGGAACAAATAAATTTCATCTTGACCAAATTTATGGAATTATAGCAAAAAACTAATGATGCAAACAATTAAAAAAGTAATGTTTTTGAAATCTTGAGTTCAGAAATTACAAACATGTCAGTCAGATTTAACAATTAGTTGAAGTGTTTTTTAAAAATAAAATACTAAATCAAGTTATATAAAAAAGGTAAAATGCAATAGAGTTTCTATGATGGTTAATGATTAATAAAAGTTACACCACAATTTAGTTGATAAGTTCTGAACAAACTTAATAAAAAAAATTTATAAAATTAAATTTAAAAAATAAAAACTTGCAGATTGAACTAATATTTAATATTTCTCTTCACTTTTCATATCATTAGAACAACTTTATTTAACAGACGTCACAGTCACACGGAATGATAAGGATAGAGTGCTGACCTTCCATATGAAGCAATGAAGTTCAAGGAGAGCAAGGAGAGAGATGGGTGGAATGTCCGAGGTGTACTGCATAATGGACCCTGCACTGTCCAACTGCACCAGCTTCTTACCGCTACAACTTTGTTCATACATTTTCAATTGTAATTTCTCAACCAGACTGTATATGTGTGGTTGACATCTGGGAAAACGAGAATAAAAAAAATTAAAAACTAAAAATACTGTAGAACTTTGTTAGAATGTACTCTTGCAGACCGAGAAAGTTGGTACGTCATATCCAAGGTATGTTCTAGCCAACACAAAAATTTTTTGAATTTTATAAGCAAAAAAATCTTTTTCAAACTAGTTCATTCAAAAGTTTGCATTTTTACAATTAAATAGCAAAAGTAAAGTTTAAATATCAGAATTAACTAATTTCAATGATTAAGAAAAACCAGCTGCTTAATATTTGATCAAAATATAAATGCCTCAAGTTTTTGTTTTCACTTTATCTGACATTTCAGAAACTAGCACAAATGAATAAAAATTCATCAATTAAGTATCTATCTGTCAAGTCAAAACTGGTCTGGTGTCTGGTTCATTAACGAATCACATTAAGAAGGTGAACAAGTGATTCAGATGCATAGCCTGCCTCATTTTTATGATAGCAATTATCTTAATTATCCTCATCCCCTCCTCTATTATCTTCAACAAATCAAATTTTTCTCGGAGTACCTTATAAATAAATATAATGCAATTCTTTGCCATCATACTCAAATCTCAAATTGTGGTACCTCATATAAAATGTATGTGATATCCCATACAAGAAACTATGGTAAAATATAGAGGCTGCAAACTTTTGTACTTTGTATCAAAGTTTAACAATTAAGATGAAATTCTGAACAATATTAACAGCATAAATTGATCAATAATTGTATTCGACAAAAAGCAGCATTAGCCAACAACAACCAACAAGTAAAAATAAAAAAATAAACAACAACATCAAGTCACAACAACTTGCATCACCTGCCAATCCACTGCCCACCAAGATCCCAGAAATCTTCTCCACTGCTGGTCCTCAACTTGGTCCCAAGTGTTCTTCCTCCAATCCTTTCTTGAAAACAATAATTTTGAAATGAATGTTAATAAAAATGCCATGTATTATATCTATATTTTATCATAAAAATTGTGTCGTGCAGTTTAGTTTATTAGATGATTGATTAACAGGCCAATCAAATTACTAAAAAGGTTATTTTGGTAATATAATAGTAATAAGTTATGAATAATATATTATAATGCATGGAATATTCTACCAGTGTAATGAAAAAAAAGTTCAATCAAAAAAATCAAATTAAACTCCTTAAAGCTTAAAAAGACTGTAGTGAAACATTTAGGTTGCTAGAGTTAGAGTACAACCTATAAATAATTATAATTTATAATGCTTTATACACAGTACAGTAAAATAAAATTCTTTCTAGACTATACTATATAGTATTCATAAACAAACAATACCTTTTGCTTCCAGTATAACAAATCTCAATTTCGCATTTTTGTGGAAAAGTTCATGGGCAGCGGCGACACCGGACAGCCCAGCCCCGATCACTACCACATCCAAAACTTCACTGGACATTTTTTTTGCTGCTAAAAACAGTATGACATAACTGTAACTCGGTTGAAAATAAAAGTTTCATAAGCTGATCTGGTAGTTATTATTATTAATAATAAATGAAATAAACAAATTAATCAAATAATTAAAAAAATAAATAACAACGCGTCTTAATAATAGTAGTTTAAATCGTTTTAAATGTCTTAAATATTAATTAATTGATCAATTAATTGATTAATTAAAACTTCAACCTTTCGAATAAATAAAATAAAAAGATAGCAGCGGCAGGTAGACGGACCGCGGCTACATCGGGTTTTTCGAAATTTGTGAATGTAAACAATCAAAAAGAACTATATATATAGTTTATAGTATAGTACAATATTAGTTCAATCAATCAATGATCCTCCTTTGTCCATCGGGGGACCGTCGAGGCCGATGGTGTACATCTAAGCATGTTTTTCACATTTATTTTTTCCTTTTTTCTTTCCAAAACCATCACTATCTTTGGCCAGTTTTATTGAATTCAGAATACCAACACTAGTCCATTCAGTAATGTCATCTATCCATTTCTTTGCAGGTCTACCAACTTTTTTTCAATCTCTTTTCCTCATTAGTAGGCAATCTCTCATTCTACAAATGTTTCCAAAAAATCCCAATTTTCTTTCTCTGACTTTGTTATATACAAAGTTAGAGAAAAGTTATAAATAATAATTAATCATTATTATTTAATAATTCCACCGATTTTTTAGTGTTTATCAACTTATGTCTTATATTCGAGTTTTTCAATTTGCCTTAGTAAATTTTTACAAACAAAATTGAGTCTGTTTAATTTAATTAAATTTAAAATTGAAACTTTATTTTTTTATTAACAAACATTTTATCAAAGTTATTGCAGATAGATTTTACTATTTCGACGTTAAACCGTCATCGTCAGTGCATTATTTATTAAATAGAATTGTTATAGTTTTTATATTATTAAAAATATATACAAATAAATTCGAAAAAGAAACATGAAATTCTAATGAAAATTTTAACAACGAAAAATTTAAAAATTTTTTAAACAATAGTTGTCCAGGCGGCAAAAACAGCGTCAAAATTGTGAGGCACGAAATTAATTAATTATTGTTATTATTATTATTTTTATTATTATTGTCTTTATTAATATTATTATTATAATTATTTTTATTATTGTTGTCGTTGTTGTTCTCGTTGTTGCTGTTGTTGTTGATGGTGTTGTTGTTGTTATCATTATTGTTATTATCATTATTGTTAGATTGCCGGTTGATCCGATTAACCATTAACGTTATTGCTGTTCATTCTTCGAGTTGGAAGTGTTGTTGTGATTCGTTGTTGGATGTTGATGGAAGGTTTTTCAGATTCGCTGAAAATGGCTTCTGCGATTCTTAGGTTGTAGTGCTGTTGATTGTTGTATAAAATTTTTGTGTTTTTATCTAGAAGGTTTCTAGTTATTGGGGTGTTGTGGAAAGTTTCTAGATGGTTTTTTATTGCACCGTCTCTTTTGTGCATAGTGAGTCTACGTGACAGTGTTGTAGTAGTCATCCCTATATAGGAATTTTTGTTTTTGCCGCCTTGACAACTATCGTTTAAAAATTTTTTAAATTTTTCGTTGTTAAAATTTTTCATTAGAATTTCATGTTTCTTTTTCGAATTTATTTGCTCGTTTGTGTTCGATTAAAATTATGCTTAGATTGGAAAGTCTCTCCTGCCCCATTGTACTTCTCATGTAGTTTTTGTTGGTTTTGAGTTTGCTGGAACTTCGTTCTCCAGATGACACTGTCACAGGCAATGTGAAAAACATTCTCAACGCAGTTGTGATGTTACGGTAGCCTTCTTCTAATTTATTTTTATAAATGAGAGTTAACATTTTTTTTATGTGGCTTTTTCAAACTTTTGTCAACTGTCAAAGCTTGATGCTTAAAACTTTCTATTTCAAAGTTGAATTTTTCAATGTTGAGACCAGGTGAGTATATATTTGCCAATTCTTCTGCTTTAATTTTTAGATCTGCTATCTTCATTTTTTCAATTTAAACACCACTCAAAAATCCAAACATGCTGTTTACATTATTCAAAGCTTTAAATCTGTCACTAAGTTCTGTAATCATCCGGTCAATGATTTCTAACATAGCCACTTGGTACACATTTTCAACACTTGCAGGAGCTTCACTATTACGCAACTCATCAGGCGTTTTTTTTCTTTCTTGGTCCCATTTCTGAAAATTCAGATGTTAGATTATTCATTTTTTGCTAACAATTTACCATCAGCAATGGCCTCAGATGGTGCAAACTCTCTGCAAGACTTCATGAATGTTAAAAGACCTTTGAGGTTTCGGGCAGCCAAATCTACCGTTAAATCTCTTTCTTGTAAAAATTCGTTTACGTAGTTAATCTTTTCTAACAATGCACGCCAAAAGCTAACCATCACAATGAATTCAAGTTTTTTAATATTTTTCAAAAGGGAGCCTGCCTCACTCACAGTTTGAGGAGTTAAGAGATCATGACTTCTAAGATCTTCTAGAGCCTACATCACTTTACTATAATGTTAATATACAACTTCGACTGCATCTAATCTTGCAGACCATCTTGTTTTGCTTTCAGGCTTTAATGTTATCGGCCCATTTTTTGAGAACTTCCCAGCGTGAAGTTGAAACTGTTAAATACAAAATGTTCAAAGTTCCGAAAAAGTTTTTAGCCTTGATAATAGCACCGGCTGCATTAGCACCAACCAAATTGAGAGTGTGCAGCACACGGAACAAAATATGCCAGTTTGTTTTTCGGCAATAATTTGTACTGTACTCCTTTATATTTTCCCGCCATATTTGCCCCGTTGTCATAGGATTGACCCCTACAATTCTCCAAGTTAAGTCCATCTATGTCTAATTTTTTTAAATTTCTTGATTGAGACCTTCACCTGTTTTGTGACGAACTGGGAAAAAATCAATAAAACTTTCTTTTATTTCCGTTGTATCTTTTTTGACGTAACGAACTACCTGAGTCAATCAATCTTCAATCAATCTTCGTTTAACGTCCAGAGACCCAGTTCCCCCGAGATAGGACGTTGTTTTTTTTGCCATCAATTTTTTGCGCCAAAATAGACAAATTGTATCTTTTTTGACATAACGAACTACCTGAGTCATTTGTTCACTGTGACTGATATCTGGAGTCAATAAATCTTCAATCAACCTTCGTTTAACGTCCAGAAACCCATTTCCCCCGAGATAGGACGAGATAGGACGTTGTTTTCTTTGCCATCAATTTTTTGTGCCAAATTAGACAATCAGTTGTATCCATTTAATTTAAATTTAGAGCTTTCATGTCATGCTCAATTGTTTGCGACCTGGACTTCTTTGGACGGCCTTTGGGACGTGTGCCAGGTACTTCAACATCTGCAAGAAAAGTTATGGCACTGTTTCCACTTCGTCTGACATGACCAAACCACCGCAGACGGTGTTGCCGGCATTCGTCCTTTATATCATCTAAACCAGCAAGGCGCAGGATTTCGATAGATTTGATGTGGTCCTTCAGACTAATTCGTTGCATCCATCGGAGCATTTTCATATCGGTTTGTTGAAGTTGTTGTTCTAGTTTGATTGTCATTTGTCATGTCTTGATAGTAGTGGTAGTGGGATGTCCCGCCGCATCAATATAGAGGCAAGAAGATGCCATTTATTCTAGGCTGCACGCATGCGTGCTCGAACGGCAGCTTCAGCTGTTCCAGTACAATCAAGAACATCCCCTAGATATTGAAACGAAGAAATCAATTTGCGTGGCTGATGGTTCACTTTTGTATGTTATGAGATGTGAATATCTGGAGTGCAGTCAAATATTAAGGAAAAATATTTTGCATCCAAAATGTCTTGTATTATTCTTTGCTTTATATTATTAGCAATAATTTGTAAAACCTCATCTTGTATTTTATGTGAAAAATATGATATTTGTCATTTTTTATGCCGCTCAAAGTGTTGTTGAAGAGGGACATTATAACGAGAAATAAGTTCAACTGTGTTCAAGAACTTTCCACTAGATACGTCACTGAAATTAGTTTTCTTTAGTTCCTCGAAATAGACTCCTCTGTTTTGCCAAGAATAGAACAGCATCTATAATACAGAGCAATACCGCTTTCCAGTGCAACTGTTCTTGACGGATCTGAGTTCTGCATCAATACTTCCATTTACTAAACTAAACAAGATTCTAAAGTTTTCCAAGAGCAAAAGCAAAGTTTGTGGTTAGATAAATTTCATGTTCAAGCAACTTTTCACTGAGTTTTTGAAAATTGGTAAGTCCTTTTTCTTTAGCTAAAGAAGATATTTGATTTGAAGCTAAGTGTGGAAACAGCTTGCAGGGAATACGATAAAAAGCTATATTATTTTCACTATAGGCTAACTATGATTTTTTTATTTTTTGTCCATTTTTGAGATCTTTATAAAAACAATCTTTGGTTAAATTGCATCCTTCTCTGCTACTGTTAATTAAATTTGGTTCAGCCAAATTTTCAAATCTCATTTTTGTTATGAAACACCTTTCTGAATCAGAAAAATTTTGTGGCCACGAACCAGGATCACTGAAATTAAAAGGGAACTTAGATGTCTTCTGAAGACTAGTTGTGGGGTCTGATTGAAATAGCAATTCTTCTACAATTTTATTTGTAGGGTTGAGGTTGAACCAAAAAACATTTTCCTCGCTCTCTTCTTTAGCTGCCATGTCATCTAAAATATTAAAAATCAGCATTATAAACAAAATAAACATTATATAAGTTATTTTTTAATTAAGAATTATTAATAAAAATTTATAACGATTTAAATAAAACTTACTAAAAGTTAGTTTTGATTGAGATAATATTTCTTTAACAGCTTTATTTACTTCACTGGAAGGATTGAGGTTCAAACCAAAAAAATGTTCTGCGCTCTTATTTTTATTAGCTTTCGTTTCATTTAAAAGTCCAAAAATATTAAAATTATGGAATAAACTTTAAAAGTTAAATTTTAAAATATTATATTAAAAGTTTTAAAAATTCTTAAATTTAACTTTTTTATATTTTATTTATTCATCACTTATGCATTGAACTTAAAATTTATTATTAAATACCAAATTAATGAAATAAAAAAAAATTAGTTTAGTCAGATGGAAACATAATTAATTCACATTGTCCATAATGTTCCATTTTTCAATAAATATTAAATTAATTAAATAATAAAATTGTTTACCTTATTTTTTTACCTTATTTTTATTACAAACATTAGATTTGCTAAATAACGTTTCTAATTTTGGCGCTAGTGACATCGTATCTCTTTCTTTTTTCGTTTTTCTTTAGCAATTTTTCTGTATTCGGCTCTACTGAGTCTTTTTCTGCCATCCATATTATTTTCAAACACGAAAACGAATAAAAATAAACTAACAAAATATTTTCGCGGCGTGAATTTAATTCAAAATGGCGTGTCTGCAAAACTCAATTAAAAAAAAGATTACAAATAAGATAAAGATTCCGTTTTTAATATTTGCGTTTGTATTATGTATATATATATATAACGATATAAATAGAATATAAAAGAAGTAATAAAAAAAATCAAATTTACTTTGATCCGAATTTGGACAAATGTGAATAACATTTTAAATTTTTTTAAACTTCTCAAAATTTGCCGCCCCTGAGATTTGCTGCCCGGGGCGCTTGCCCCCTTTGATCCCTCTTAGTTCCAGGCCTGGTTATTTCTTCCATCGCCGTGATGAATAGCGGGGCACTAAGTATCGAACCCTGGTGTACACCAACGTTAATGTCGAATTTATTTGTATTACCAGCTCTTGTACTGAGCAACCAAAGTCCTGGTATGTGCGTACGTTGCCAAATCAATCGAACAAGATATTCGGGAACATACTGTCTGCGAAGACATGATCATTTTAAATACTGAAAATAGATACTAATAATGTGAATAAAACCACATAACTATCTTAAAGTTTTTAAACATATATATAACAGTACCTAATTTTACTAAGAAAATCAATTACATTAACTTACTTTAAATGTTTTTTAAAAGTATCTTTCATTTAGTTTGGGTATTTAAGTAAAATTACAAAGCAAAATTTGAAGGGTTTTACCCGAAGTCGGAAATTTTTTTATCCAATTCCGACATAGAGTTAGAAACTGATAAAAAAACTGAACGAATCTTTCAAAAAACTTTATATAAAAGAAATATAACAAAAAAAAATCCCAAGCAAATATAATGTCAGAACAGAGTATATAATAGAAAAATACATACACCGTATAAATGCAATAGGGAAAGCATTAACAGTATTAATAATATTACACACGGTAAACAAATATTTATAAATGAACAAATAACAAAATAATTAATGAATTATATATGATAATGACGATTCATTTATAATTTTGTCATTTGAGATATCATTATAAATAATATACACCTATGCGTTATGGTAACTGCATTATATTATTTGTTCGCTAAATACATCAACATTTTCATGGTCCTCTTACTTTTCGGGTAGTTGATGGTTTAACAGATACCGACAAACTCCAGCCAGAAAGCTTCATTGACGGTTAAATCGTAAAATTTGCTGTCGACTCAAAACCGAAGTCGACGATTGAACTTCGTCAGTTTTCACGTTAGAATTATTTTTACGATATAAAGGAATGTTATAGTATTGGTATATTTTTATTATTTTTAGTTATTTCAGTGACCCTACAACCTCGATTCACCTCTTCAGCTACAGCTAGCAAGTAAAATTATAGCTGTCTCAACCATGGTATTTTACACCTACTCCTGTTGCTCTATCCAACTATAAAATTTACTGGAAACACGCGTCCGGACCATTTTTTTTACATGGAATATAAATTTATATTCTATTCTAAAATAATATTTTTATAAATTTTTCCAAAAACTTCCGTAGTTACGACCAAACACCCTTGTTGCATATGATAACCACTTATATAGTTACATACAAACGAAGTAAAAGGAAAAATAAAAAGTGATAAACGTAGAACTTTAAAAAATTATCACGTTATGATAACGATCCTAGTCCGGAGTCAAAATTTATGCTCAATAGTAGTTTCTGGTGGGAATCCAAAGCTGTACCAGTTTGCACGTCTGCGACTCTCTCCTTCACAACTTCATCATAAGTCTTCCCGTCCAACAACATCAAAATCTGCATCAACAGTAACGATCCATTTAACTATACATTTGGTTTTTTTATGATCTTAGCCATCAGTTCAGTGTTGCTTTCTAAGCACAAGCATTTTAAAAATAAATTCATTGTAGAACACACATGCTAACCTTTTCATCTCCGAAAGAATAATCTCTGGCTGTCATGCCTTTGTTCGTATCATTTTCATCCTCGCTGGAACTATCAGTTTCATTAAGACGACATTTGCGATACATGACGCTGGACAAGTCGACGTCGGCATTTATCCATTCACTGCAACTTTCACTGTCGTCACTACTTTTGTAATCACTGGAATCGTGTTTAACGTCTGAATTTTTTATGTTGCAGTCTGAACCGGCGGCTACGAGCAATGCAATTATTTTTAAATTTTTTGACGCCGTAGCGATATGTAGTGCGGTATTTCCTTGAAACGACTGAGCATCCACGTCGATGTTTTTCTGTTAAATTAAAAATAATATTTAACATTTGTATGTAACAAATTTAGTTGAAATTGTTAAGTTTTATGTTTTATATTAAAACATTATGATTTGTAATATACATTTATTTTTCTTTGGACCAAATGTTCTTTGCTTTGTATGTAACTTCACTTTTTTCCTTTTCTGTTGATCCGGTGAATAATAAACAAGTCGAGAACGTTGCTTGGTTTATTTCTCTTCTTTTAATGTCTTTCAATATTATATCAATTAATTAAACGATCTACGTAACAAGAAATTTAACAGGTTATGGGACCCAGATAACGTTTTTCTTAATTAATTGATTAATTTTTTGACGAAGAAAATTTAGAATAAAGAAATATCGGAGATTCCTTTGTGTTTGTGAAGACTGAAGTGAAGAAAAAACACGTGCTTCTTCATTCTCTGAAAGTCGATATTTTGCTTCTAATTAAAAGGTCAAATTGAAAGACAAGGAAGAAATGGATCTAACAAAAGTGCAGATCAAACACCTAGAAGGCAAAAGTAATTGGTTGAACTGGAAGTCGAGAGTTTGTATAATAGTACGCGGCATTCCTGATGCAATGAACGTAGTAAGTGGCAAATTAAAAATTCCAGATGAATTAAACGATGACTCAAATAAAGATGAGATAGCAAAATATCAAACTGCTTTGAACAGATTCAATAAACATGACCAATGAAACGTATGAAAAAGTTCGTTCATTCAGTAATGCCAGAGATGTTTGGTTAGAACTTCACAGATTGTATGATGAAGTTAATGAAGATAAAGCATACAGCTTATGCATGAAGTTCTTCAGTTATAAAATGGATGAAAGCGACAATGTTGTCACTCATGTTACAAAACTCAAGAATTTTTGGAAAGATTTGAAGGTTGAGTTAGGAAAAGATGAAAACAGTGACTTGTTGCTGATGAGCCAAATAATTGAAACTTTGCCAGAAAAATATTTTTCATTTGCTGCAAGTTGGAGATTGTTGAACAAGACTGAAAGAACAGTCGAAACACTCACAGATCAACTGTGTATCTATGAGAGATCTTTGGAAGGCAAAACAGAATGTAATAAAGTATTATTTGTCAAAGCAACAACTAAAAGGTCATCATCACTAAACATGAATGGTCAAAAACAAGATAAATTTGTCAGCAAATCAAAGCGACTGATATGTCATTATTGCAAATTGCCAGGTAACATTGTAAGAAATTGTGAAAAATGGCATTCTGATGGTAGACCAGCAAAACCAAGAAATAACAATCTACGCGATGACAATAAGTCACTAGTTGTTATGGAATCAAGTGTTTTTGCAATTGATGAGTCAGCGTACACTGATGAATGGTTTTTTGACAATGGCGCTGACTTTCCGAAGAGACATATTTCAAAGTTTTGAAAAATTTTCTCAACCGAGTAAATTATATGTTGCAAATGGTGATACTGTAGAAGCTTTTGGAAAAGGAATTATTCATCTTCAAGTGAAAGTGAATAATAAATGGCAAACTGTTAAACTTACAGATGTCTTGTATGTGCCAAAAGTAAAAAGAAATTTGTTCTCAGTACTTGCAACTCAAGATAAGAACAAAAATAGCTCTTTTGTTTCAACCTCAAGAAGTTGTCATCTACTTATTGACAATGTGATAAATGTTGTTGGAATAAGAAACAACAATGGAGGTCTGTTCAAACTTGTTGCAAAAACAGTTAGACCGTTGAATTCTGAAGTCGAAGTTAACTTTGTCAATGATCAAGATGCATTGCAGTTATACCATGAAAGAATGGGACATCAGAATAAGAAACGTGTTAAAATGCATCGATCAAGAGATGTTATTTTTGATGAGAAGGTTGTCAAACCAAATTCAGTGATTTTGCAAGAAGAAAGTTGTTCAGATGATACAGTTTCGATTGATGTTGAAATCAAAGATGAAAATAAAGAAACTTTGATTAAAGAAAATATTTCAACTGATGAAGATGTTCACAACCGTAGTTCAGTTTCATCTGATGAAGAAGATCAATCTGACTGTTGTAATCAAAAGACCAAAGGTATGGTTTTACGTGACAGGAATAATATCAAAAAGCCATCTCATTATGATTCTTTCGTTATGTCTGCATTATGTGAAGTACTTGAACCAGTGAGCTACAAAGATGCCATTCAAAGTGATGAAAAAGATGAATGGTTTAAAGCCATGAACAGTGAAATGCAGTCATTAAAGGAAAATCAAACGTGGGATTTGGTAAGTCTTCCAAAAGGTCATAAGGCAATACCATGCAAATGGGTCTACAAGGTAAAACACAATCCAGATGGTTCTGTTGAACGTTTTAAAGCCAGGCTAATGGTAAAAGGTTTTTCTCAGAAAAAGAGAATTGACTATGAAGAAACCTATAGTCCTGTAGTCAGAAGTTCAACTATAAAAACACTATAAAGTGTTGCTGCAAATGAAAAGATGTCACTCATGCAGTTTGATGTGTCAACAGCTTTTCTATACAGCAAACTAGATGAAGATATTTACATGGAGCAACCTGAAGGTTTTAAAGATAATTCAGGAAGAGTCTGTAAACTCAAGCAAAGTCTCTATGGACTTAAACAAGCTCCAAGATGTTGGAACAAACGCTTTGCTGAATTCTTGAAAAAGAGACATTTCAAACAAAGCGATGCAGATATTTGTTTGTTTATTAGAATACAGGGAGGAAAGAAACTCATACTTGCACTGTATGTTGATGATGGACTAGTTGCAGGAACCGATAAAGAAGAACTAAAAATATTTGAAAAAGAATTAAAGTCAGAGTTCAAGATAACATCTAAACCTGCAACATATTTCCTTGGATTAGAGATTAATCAAGATGAGAAGGGAAATATTAAAGTCAGTCAGTCATCGTATACAAGAATGATTCTTGAAAAATTTGGGATGAGTCAGTGTAAATCCTGTACAACTCCGATTTCAAAATCTGAGGAGTTCGATGAAAACAAAAATGAACACAAGGAAGTGAAATTTCCTTAGATATCAGCAGTTGGTGCATTGATGTACTTGATGACGGGAACAAGACCAGATATTGCATATGCAGTTGGAGTAGCATCCAGAAGTTTGGAGAAACCCAGCAAGTCCAATGTAGCACAAGTCAAGCAAATTTTCAGATATTTGCAAGGCACAGCTGATGTCGGTATTGTTTACAAGTCTGGTCAAAACAATACACTTATAGCCTACAGTGATGCAGATCATGGAGGAGATAAATCTAGTGGAAGATCGACATCAGGTGTAATCTGTATGTTTGGAAGAAGCGTGATCAGTTGGTTTAGCCAACGTCAACCCTCAGTTGCGATTTCAACTACTGAAGCAGAAATCGTTGCCGCAAGTGAAGCAGCTCGTGAAGTGATATGGCTCAAACGATTGTTGAACGACATTGTAGATCTGAAGAAAAAGCCAGAAATTTTTGTCGACAATGAAGCAGCAATTCGTTTAGCACACAATCCAGAACTTCACAGAAGAACAAAGCACATCCACATTAGACATTTCTTTGTCAGAGAAAAAGTTGCAGAAGAAGAAGTTTCAGTTGATCGAGTTGCGACAGAACTTCAAGTTGCTGATGCTCTGACAAAACCAATGGTAGGACCAAGACTAAAGAATCTGATGTGTGCGATGGGTCTTCAGAACATTTAGGTTAAGATCATCTAATGTTTTAAATAAAATGAGAAGGTGTTAAGTTTTATGTTTTATATTAAAACATTATGATTTATAATATACATTTATTTTTCTTTGGACCAAATGTTCTTTGCTTTGTATGTAACTTCACTTTTTCCTTTTCTGTTGATCCGGTGGATAATAAACAAGTCGAGAACGTTGCTTGGTTTATTTCTCTTCTTTTAATGTCTTTCAATATTATATCAATTAAACGATCTACGTAACAAAAAATTTAACAGAAATTGTATTAATTTTTTCTTATTCACTTTCAAGAAAGAAAGAATTAATTTAAAAATGTTCCATAATCAATCTCAAAGATAATTTGCTTTCCTTACCAGTGAAAATCTCACAGTTTGAATGTCAAAGTTAAAAAGTTTGGTCATTTTTTATTCTTTATAATCCAGCTGTGTCAATGGCAGAGCTGCTCACATGTTATTCTCCACTTATAAATTAAACTTCGGTGTACACATGACGTACACCATGTCATCTCGTAAAAGCAGCGCAAGACATGGCACTTAACTGTCTGAGCCATTTTACGTTTATCTCAAAATTTAAATTTTACAAAAGGTATTGTCATGGAAAACATTTTTAATTACAGCTTTTTAATAAAGGTTTGAAACTTAATTTTAGAACAATTCAGCTTGTGACAAACCTCTAGTAACAGCGATGCTGTCATCGACAAGTGATTGTTTTCCACTGCCAACATCAGAGCTGTTTTCCCTGGAGTTCCAACAATCATTTGGCAGAAATTAATATTTTTATTACAAATAAAATCGCATAGATACAATAATAAATGGCTTTTTAAAAAAAGAAAAATATTTTAAAGTGATTTTCACCTATCTTATTATCATAGAACAACGTTAAATTTTTATTTTGAGACATGTTATGATTGATGGAAGAGCTAACCTCACAGCAAAACACCAACAACACAAAAAAATGTTGTTGACGAACATGATTGTTCGTTCAAACCATTAATATCAGCATTGTTTTAGAAATATTTGATTTGAGATAGAGAGGCACGTACTAAGTAAAATGATGACAATACCAAAGTTTTAGAATGTGCCTCCTTAAAGCGTGACATATAACACAACAACGTAACATAGCGTAATATAACATAGCAGGGTTTTAAGTGGCTCAGTAGACGAGTGTGTTTGAATCGCCGTCAGACGGGTTGCCTTTTTTTAAATTGCTCATACGCGTAAATTTCATCTCAACATAATTTCATCAAAAGTTTATCTGGCTAATACAAGGATGTTCCAAATTTTGAGTCCATCCAATGTTATCAGTGGCGGATATAGGACGGGGCCGAGGGCGTTGTGAGCAATAATTGTCTTAAAAGTAAAAAAAGGTTGCCAGCCTAATATTGTAGCCATATTACAATAATTTTTTGAAAATTTGTTACATTCTTGCTTCTCCCCGTCAAAATTTAAAAATTCTCAAAAGTTTGGCCCCACGTCAAAGTTGTTTAGATCCGCCACTGAATGTTATCTTACAATATTTCACTTCTTGTTATATGAAGTTAGCAAGCGCACACTTTTTATTTTTCATTTAGAACCGCCGTTATTATAATCCTATTGACGAAAATTTCGCTCTACCTAATGCAACAAAATAAAATGTTAAATAAAGATATTTATGAAATGGCTTTTAATATTTTTTTAAATTTACATTTACGGAATTGTATGATGTTGTGCAGTTTTCTATCTTGCAAAACACATTCCCATTTTTATTATACGAAGCTTAAATTTTGAGAATGTATCTCCCGAGTTAAAGATAGAGTAGATTTCTATTGAAAAATTTTGAAAATTTCAACTAAAAGTTTCTTGCTAAATATTTGGTGGAAGATTCAACTTTCTTATGAAATGTCACAATCTGAAATCGTGAAACACCATTACTGTAGATCTTAAGTACAAAGACTCGAAGGGAATCAAATAAATAATACGACCGTTAATTAAGTGTCCAACCTGTCAGCTGATCTCGAATGTTGACGTCAGCCCCATACTGCAGTAGAAGTTTCATGCATTCGTAATATCCGTTTGAAGATGCTATGTGCAGTGCCGTCTTACCTGAGTGGTTACAAAATAATACATACGCTATCCTGTTTATCAACATTTTTAAATTGATAACATTTCAAATTTATAAAGCTAATTTGTCGCAAAAACAGCACCGTGAAAAATAATTAACCTGAATAATTGAATTGGTTGATGATCTCGTTCGATGCAGGTTGATTGAGAAGAATGTTGAGGCATTCGTCATGGTTCATCTTAGTTGCAACTTGAATTATGTTGTCTCCCTTGCCGCTGGTTGACTCGTTCAGCTTAGCGCCGTTTGTTAGTAGCAACTGCAGTTGGTCAATTTGGTTGGTGACGACCGCCAGGAAAAGTGGGGTCTGATTTTATTTTAAATTATAAAAATAAGTTTACAACGAATTTTTGTAGCAATATTTTCAAAACAATTTCAAAACAATACATTAAATACAATCGAACTATCGTTAAATGGATTGATGATAGGCATTAAATGAAAATAGGTGCAAACTTGAAAAAGGAAATTTTTCTGATTGACAATGGCTTGTTTGAGGGAGATGTGCTTGAGCATAGAAAGTAAGTTTAGGGTGGCAAGTGTTTTCTCGTGCAATACAGAAAGATGGAGAGAACTGATTGGTTTAAAAAATTTGCATAATTTATTTTTAAAAATTATTTTAAAATATAACTGTTGAGTTATATGTAAAAATCATGTGTTGAAGCTGCTTTTAGATTAGATATTTAATACATTTACACTCGACAAAGTATTTACACTAAAAAACCACATTGTAAAATGAAAGTTTAATAATTTCACAATAATCTAACATTTGCTTTGCTGTAGTACATTTTTATAATTATTATATATCCTAGCGCTTATTAACAAATGAAAAATAACGCAAATAATCTTTTAAGAATTTATTGGATGTAATTTTATGTTAACAATTATAATTATTGGACAGAAGAGAGCAGGACTGACTTGTCTCCATCAAAATTCTGCTCGTTAATGAGTGACTTGAGAGGCCAAATGAGAAACCTTACGTCTTCAGTACACGAGTACAGCTGCAGGCACTTAATTAACACACCTCAACGAAAGAAAAATATTTACGCATTGATCAAAGTTTTGAGTTGACAAAATTATTTTTAAATTTTAATTCATCTAAAAAATACAATAATAAAAAATATTAAATCGTGATAAGAAATAGCGACATTATAAACATGCTGATGATAAGAAATTAATTACTTCGAGTACAAACATCAAGTAAGTTACGACATTACAAGCTGAGTAAATATGCCATGCACAAAAAAATACGGAAAGTTAAAATAATTCAACCGAGTAAAAAAGAAAGGAGAAAAATTGGAGAACGATGCAGAAATCTGACCACAAAAAAGGGAGACAGAAATGATTTAACTTTGACGGAGGAGCTTGAAAAACAATTTAAAAACTCAACTTAGCCACTGGGAAAATAATGTAGAAAGAGTTGAAATGTTGGATAGTTTACTAATATTCCCAGACATATTACCATAAGCAAACAACGATAAATGAACTTTAAGATGTGTGAATAAACTTTTGCTTATAACAGTCCAGCTCATAGCAATGCAAAACTTGCTAACTTAAACAGTGATTAGCCAACCGAAGACCAATGAGATGTGATCATGAAAAATCAATTGTTCTTCATTATGCAACCTTAACAAAATTGCTTTCATCTATTGAACCCAATAATTAAGAATTTTCAAACGTGAAACAGAAATTTTTAACTTCAGAAAAACGACATCTGCGGAAATCTTTCAAAAATTTAAAAAATGGTATGAAGTGCTTCGGCAAATAGTTTGCTGCAAGAACCAAAAATAAGTGTGCAAACATCGCCGGTAAAATAGTCTTGGAGGATGTAAACGAAAGAAAGACCGAATCGGAGTGTCGGAGCAGGTCGGAGTTGGATATTTTTTATATTATATTTATATATATTTTATATTTTTTATATCTTGTAATATCATATAAAAAACAACGGAAAGATTGCTCCGTAAGAATTGCAATGCAGTAAAAATTATTTACATAACGTAGCTAATATAAGTAACTTAATTTTTTATTAACTTCGTTTTATTAGTGTTGTTGTTATCAATTGATCATACTGTATTTAGTTCTTGTACTCGAATGTTGACTATAATAATATAAATAACGGAAAAACGGATGTCTATGAACAAAAACTGACAAGCGAAATACCTCTGGATTTTTTGGATATTTGTGAATTTTGTGTTTTGTTGTCATCTTGCTTCAGACTATAACACTTGATGAGAGAGCTGGAAACATCGGGGCATGTTGTTGGCGAGGCTGGTTGGTTGGGTGTGGCAGTACTATTAGTTGTCATCAGTGGTGATGGTTGTGAGGCACATGATAACAGCGATGACGAAAATGATGAAAATGTATCAGTCGTCGATGAAAGTGATGTAGATGACGCAGATGATGATGTTGGTTGTGATGTTTGTAACGAGAGAAACGTTGAACTTGAACTTGTTTGCACTGATGCTTGAATTGACGATGGTACGATTGCTACAATTCCTGGAGACGATGAAGATGACGTCATTGTGGTTAACGCGGATGATGATAATGTCGAATTTGCCAATCCTCTACCCAATAAGAACGAATCAGTGTTGCTCCAATTCAAATTTTCAAAATCCAAATAATTTTCTGTAACAGACAATGGTATCTGTTGGTTGTTTGTAGTTTTTTGTAAGTAGGGTTTCTTATTTTGTTGTTGATAATGATGCAGATCTTGTTGCGGTCCCAGGTGTTGTTGTTGCTGCTGCTGTTGTTGTTGCTGCTGTTGTGGTAGGTGGTGGTTCTGATTAAATTGTTGTAAATGATGAAAGTCTCCAGCCGCCTTTGCAAAAGAGTAACATTGCTGCTGATTGTGTGTATGAGCGAAGTCCTGGTATGCCTCTTGCAACTTGTATGAAATGCTTTGAAATTCATTTGTCAGACACAATGGAGAAAGTTGTTCAGAGTCAAAAGTACAAGAGTTTGCCAGTAAATTTGGTTCTATTTTAGGACCTTTTTGGAGTTGTTTCGATTAGGTAGTCATTATACTAAATTAAAACATTAAACACTAATTTGTTCTATTTTAGGACCTTTTTGGAGTTGTTTCGATTAGGTAGTCATTATACTAAATTAAAACATTAAACACTAATTTGTTTAATACATTAATCAATCAGTCAATTAAAAATTCGTTCATCTATTTATTTTTTTCAAACATTTTTTTGTTTATTCGTTTTTAATGTCACTAATTTACTTTTTTAATATGTTTCATCAGTCATTTAATATAGAGAGCAAAAAAATATTAGAAGAAACCAGTTGAAAAATTACTACAGATATATTATGGAAATATAATGGATAAAAATACCATGAAATGAATTGCTTGCACTACTCAAATGCCTTCTTTTTTTCCTATGCAACTCCATCGTAATGTCTGTTCATTTGGAAAAAATAGTTTAATAACATTACATCCTGTCTTGGAAGTAGATTTGCACTAATAATATTTCGTCATGAAAAACTGACATGACAGGCATACATACAGACCTACATATAATTCTAATAGGAATTGAGCAATTGCGTCGTTATATAGCCATCTACAATTAATTCAGCAGCCAAATATAGTAATCTTTTTCTTAAATATAATGAAAGCATGAGCGTACTTGATAGGTTTTTGGAAAGATAAAACCTCAAAAATGAGAAAGGTTGATTTTAACTTTGTCGGCGAGTTTGCTCAAATAGTAGAAATGTCGTGTATCGCGCAGAAACTGACCTTGTTCAAACACCGTCTGCCCAAAATGCGCGGTGCTTGCACTTACATATAAAATATGTGTGATGGGGACATGTGGTATGAATAGTACAGCCTTTTTTTGTTAACAAGCGTTTTAAGAAAAAGTGACGGCTAACGGAAAGGACAAACGGCGATGGGAATTGTTTTCCAGTATACAAAAATTTTGTAAGATTTAAATAATCAATCAAATCTCTTTTAATTTTATTGAATAATAGAATTCACTAGCCTCGCTCTAGTAAAATTTTACAAAATAACGTAAAATTTGAAAATGTGGTGTTTTTTACTGAAATGCTCTGGCGAACAAACTTCAAAATTAATGCGGCAGGTAAATTTTCCAGTTGACGATGCAAGAATTAAATAATAAATTCAAGTAATAAATAATAAATTTAAACAATACGTTTAAACGACAAAAAAATATATTTTAATAGAAAGAATGGTTTTTCAAATTTTTTTAGAGTGATATAAGAATCAACACTGACGATAAATTTACACTTTCACACAACTTAAAAGTTGCATAAGAAAAATTAATAGCAAACTTCATCTGAATAAGCTAGCTTTAATGAACATTTGCTATAATGTAAATTTCGGTGAAAAAAATTTTGCGATATGTTCTCATTTCGGAAAAAATTCCGTGACGTCAACAAGATATATAATAAAAATACGACACGGCGATTCCAGACAACAAAATTTTAAATGCAGCAATCATTATACATTGTTAAATTTTACTATTTCAAAGCAAGTGCGTAAATTTTGTTAAAAATACAATTAAAAGCAGCATATCAATTTCTGACAACAAACCTTGTAACTTAGGGAAGAAGGTGAACGTTTTGGGATCACTCACTTCTCCATCTGATAATCTTTTAAGTTGGACAAAAACACTTTGTGAGTTCTTTATTTTATTGTCTGGGTATGATGGTGTCCGAAACACAATTGCATACTGTTGTTCGTTTTAAAGATAAAAAGTTATTTTTTCAACTATTTCTCTCGTATAAAAAAGAACCTGTCTGTGAACATCTTGCGGCGAGAACACACCATAATCTTCCCATGTAACATTGCCTTCTTCGTCTTGCTCGAAAAACCTCACACTTATATCATCTTTCATAATGTTCATATTTGTATGTTAACAAAATTGCAACAATTGAACGAAAAAAGTAAACCTTTTTGAACTTTATCGCAAAGTAGAAAAACTTCGTCATTTCCAGCACTGCAACCGCTAACTCGATCCATCCTACATATTTTCAGAAGGGAAGCTCGAGGCGCTTCTAAATGATTTTATTACTAAATAAATTTATTTCCAATTTCGAAACGTAAAATCATGTTTCATTTGTTTCGTGATTAACAAAACGCAATATATAAATAAGACAAATATAATAATTGATACTTACTGCTATCATAAATTTGAGCAGAATAAACGGGTGGCAGCAATGTTGTAAATCCTGCGTCATTAATAAGATACGCTTGAAATTTCAATCTAACAACACTCATTTGAAGACTTTTTGATTGTTCTTCCGCTTTCTTTTTTATATCTTCTTCTTCAAAATCTTGTAAAATGCAAAGTAATTAATAAATATAAAAAAATTTTTTTTTATAAAATTTATATTTACCAGTAAGTACTAAATCATTCACGTTTCCATAATAACTGCCATAGCAAAACTTTTCAATTTTGAGCGATTCTCTCAGTTTATCTATTAAAACGTTTACTAAATTTTTCTTTGTAATGTGCTTGATTCCCAGATTTGGAAACCTTAGATTTTAAAATGAATTAATAATGAATATTTTTGTGATAATTTTGTTTTGTTTCTTTTAGTACCCAATAATTGGATTATCTCCTTTCACATTCACAACACATTTTCCATTTTCACAATTTTTCCCAATTAATTCATGAGCATGATGTCTGGGAATTTTTTCATCTGTCACCAAAGTAACTTCCAGTCTAGCCATACCACTGTATCTGTTAATCTGTAATGTTACTTTTAATTACACTTCCAAAATAGATAATTGAATAAAACAATTAATTTATTTTATAAAATTTTAATTCTTAACATATTATAAAATAATTTAGTTGAACCTTGACAGTGGGAACTGTTTTCTTATCCTTTCTGTGGTTCACCCCTTGTAGACCTCCATGAGACTTGCCCTCACAAGCATATCTAAATCTGAAACCTTTTGATTGTGGTTCTTCAATAATTTCTAAATATGGTCCATCTGTTAATTTAATATTTCTTCACTTACAGTTTGTCAGTCAGTAAACATGATTACGTAATGTCATATCTTAATAAAATTGACATTATAAAAAATGTTAATGTAACATAGCTGTTTTTTTCTAAATAACGAAATCATTATTAGATAGATAGATTTAATAGAATAGATATAATTGATTTGAATATAAATAACCTTCAGGAGGGGATGGATTGTAAAAACTTCTGATCTGGTAATCAATGCTTTCACAGTCGCTTAAATCAGACATCTCTATTAGGTGATTAGGAAAATTCAATTCAATTATTACGATGAGATGGCCTACTTATCTCTATAAAAATCAAATTGTATCAAGCTCGCTTATTTCATTTTTATTAAATTAAATATTAAATAAGCTAATTCTGTAAATTGTAATGACCTGAAACAGTGTTTTATAATGATCTTAAACGCGGATGTTATATTTTTTGTGATTTATTATTCTGTATATATATTAAATTAATATTATTAATTATACTGTTTCAAATAAGTATAATTATTATAAATAATGGCTACATTTAGTTAGATTTTCATGTTTGATTTTTGGCTGTTTGATTGATAAACAATTAAAATGTTGTGGAGTATATCTTCCTCCAATAAAATTAATAAAAACTGATTAATTATAGAAATTAAATTATATCAAGTATTACCATTTATTAACAACAAAACATTCATGTATTATATATTATTTATTTTAAAATAAAAAACACCGTAAACTTGATGAAATTGTTTTTTCTAGTTGAACGATTGAGTGGATCATTATTAAATTGAATGAAACAACGAAACAACGAGGGAAATAACGCATGATGGGGATTTCCAAAATTTATGGGAAATTTGTCTGCTTCTATTTGTAGAACTTGTGCAGCCCGTTGCGTAAAGAGGAAGAATTATTTTATATGTGTATAAGTGTATATATATATATATATATGTATATATATATATATATATATACATATGTGTGTTTGTGTGTGTGTGTTGTGTGTTGGTGTGTGTATGTATGTATGTTCTTTCTTTTCCTTTCTGTTTATATTGTCGGTATATGAGTTTCACTATTATTTTTTGTTCTGTTTATGTATGGTATTATAGTTAAGGCACTGATTGTATGTATGCTTAAACCAGATAAATTATGACGTGTGTGTGTGTGTGTGTGTGTGTATGTGTGTGTGTGTGTGTGTGTGTGTGTGTGTGTGTGTGTGTGTGTGTGTAAAAATCAAAAGCGTCAAACCAATGCAATGCTATGACTAAATGCATGACTGAACACAAGCGTGAATATTGCTAATTTATTTATTTATAGACATATTAACATAACATACCATAGCATAAATGATGGACTCAGCCAGGATGACATATGTCCATATCAAAAATATAAATGGAAAATGGAAAAGAGGCAAAAAACAAAAACAAATAAATCAATGTGTCAATTTTGTGAGTGTAAACAAGATCATGGTCAGCCGTGTATTTATCAAAATTGATTTAGAAATAAACTTCTGCATCGACTTCAACAACACTGCTGAGTAACAGTAACAATAATAATAATAACAATAATGATAAAATAATAATATTAATTAAGGTAGCTTCATCCATTATATCAGAGCAAAATTTCAAAATTTAATCGACCTAATCTTCAGTAATTCGTAATAACAACATTGGTCATTTCAAATTACTATATATCAAAAAAGTCCGTATTTCCATTATCATATTTTATATTTTCATGCTTTTTTGGAATGTGACGATGATAAAATGAGTTATTTATAATGATATACTTCAAAAAGTCAGAAAAACACCGTTTAATGTAGAAAATCGAGCAGAAATTGACATAAAAAGCAAAAAAATCTTTAGCATAATTTTGATCACACTACTACAAATTTCCCTTGTTATTTAATGAAAGTTGTCGTGTATGTGGTTTGTTAAATTATACTCAAAAATATATTAAATAATTCTAAAAATAGTATTATATTAATATTTAAAATAGTTTAAACATAACTTAAAATATAATATGTTGAGTTGACAGCAAAACAATTGAAAAATCTAGCCAGTTTATCCATGTGCTTGGTTGGCATAAAATACGTATAAAAAATTACAAATAATGACATATGGTTTTTTAATGTATGAATCCATTAGAAATATTGTTATAAAAAAAATTTGAAAGTTTGAAGTTGTTTATTATTCTTAGCCCCTTAGACTCCCTTTACACTCCGGCGCCTAAGGGGACCGCCCCTTCGACCTTCTTCGGTACACTACTGGATTTGAGAAGAATGACTGGAACATTGCGTGTATGTATTATTTTCATTTAACTTTTTTGTCCCCATAATGAAATAGGCTTAGACTTTTTACCTGGTTTTGCATAGCACGTTGATGTGTAGCTGTCACCTTTCAACTTTCTGTTAGCTATATTAGAAATCTCGATTTTTCTAATATTTAATTATTCTGACAAATTTCATTGTACAGAATCAATTTTAAATAAACAATCGAACAATGATGTCTACGCATCTACATCAGCGGTTTTCAATCTTTAAAATATGAATATATAATATCCATATATCCTTGCCTTAAAATGCTTCATCTCTCAAGGTGTGGCGAGACCAAACAACAAGCTTCGATAATAGGTCTAAGTAACTGTAACATTGCAACTCGGATACTGGCGTGTATGTATTATATGCACGAAGTTGTTTCGCAGCTTAAAACCGTACGTGGATCTTCATCCAACAACTTTATTAAAACATAATAAAAGACAATAATTCAGCGACGGGCAGAGTTTAACTAAATGGTCGCAATGCAAACTAATAGTGTAACCATATTTTTGTAGTTTCGTGCCTGGTTTAGGTGAAAAAAATTTCGTAAAAATGTTTAAAATATTTTAGTTGCCAAACTAAAATATTTTAAACAGCACATTTTTTGACTTATGGTTTTTAAACATGATTTATAAACTGAAAAATGCACACGATTGAAGTATTTCATTTTATTAAAGCCAAGTACATTTAAAAAAGCTAATGTTTCTTAAGTCTAAACTGACATCAGAATACCATATAAATATTTCTAATCAGAATATTACTGAATTTACGGTATAGAAATTTTCAACTGTTTTTTTTAATTATAAAAGTCATTTTAAAATAAAATTCATATGTTATCAGCGTATAGCAAGAAAACAGTCAACTAAACTAATAAAAATAGTTATAATTTTCAAAACTATTTGGCAACTATTTTTGTATCTACTTCTTGACGGACAGCGAATCTGAAGCAACATAAACGAAGCAACATAACAAGCCACAAGCATCTATATCATCGCCACATTACAAAAAATCCAACTATAGTGCGTGCTAAGTAAGACCATGTATGTTGGTGTAGAATTAAGATATATGAGTGAGTAAGACATATGACATAAAAGATATGAGTATGACTCTTCGGTCAATTCAAGATACTATATATCGAAAGCATCGGGATTTTCATTGACAAATTTACATTTTCATGCCCAAGAGATGAGTACTGTATGAATCTAAAAAAAAATACCAGCCTTGTTCACTATTCACTATATCAGCGCCACATTCCAAAACAAAATCGAACTCTAGTAAAACGATTTTGGTTTCAGTAAAACGTTAAAAACTAATCGAACGTTTTATGTCAAAAACATAAGGATTTCAATTACCGAATTTTCATTACCACATTTTCATGCTCAGAAGATTGGGTATTTTGCGAATCTAAGAAAAAACTACCGGCTTAATTAATTAAATCAGCGCCACATTCAAAATAAAAATCGAACTATAGTACTTATTCAGTAATAATGACGAATCATCATTATGATGATAACTATTCGCTTGATTCAAGTAACTGTCACTCAGATACGACGGATTTCCATTACCAAATTATATATTTTCATGTTCAAAGAATTGAGTAGTACATTAATTTTGTGTAAAAACTGCCACCTAAATTCACTAGGTACATATACCTGCGCCACATTCCAACAACAATCAAATAATATTCGTCGTCTTCAGAAGTACACAATGATAACTATTTGGACATTTGAAGTTAATATAAAAAACATCGGAATTTCCAGTAGAGAATTACACATTTTCAGGTTCAGGAGTTTAATTACTAGGTGAATATACTAAAAAAAGTTTGTTTTATTTCTTCCACCACCTGGAAACATGCTGTGTATATCCAGTGCACTGAGATTTATATAGTTAAACTTTTAAAAAATACATTTCAACACCCAATAGGCATGACGGAGCGCACACACGTTAGCAACAACCCAGGCCTACTACTAATTGTTGCTTTTGATAAGTCTTTTTAATAACAGAAGTTTCGTGCATATTTATAACCGTAAATTTCCGTTTCAACGTTTTTATCTGAGCTTCTATTAAAATAAAACGCCATTTTAAACAAAATGGGAACATTGCATCGTTCGTTCAGTGTAGCTGGAAAAGGGGTTAGTGAGCATGGCACTGTTCCAGACGATGCTGAGACCCACAGGTAGAAAACCGCTGATTTCTTTACATGTAATGACCATGTTATTAAACAATGAATTGAACTATAAAACTACATTATTTTTGATCGTTGACCAGAAGGCAGTTTTATCATTATATCCAATTTGTTAATACCAAATGTTGGTGGAAAAGATTACGGGTTGCATCTTAACAAAGACAAAACGAAGGTGATGATTACCGGGAAAGGCAAAAACAATGCGGAATTTTAGATAGAATTAGAAAAACTCGAACAAGTAGGCCAGTTTGGGTATCGTGGCAGTTTTATAACCTGTGACAACAACTGTACCAAAGAAATCGACAGAAGGATAGCAATAGCCCAGGGAATGTTCACATCATTGAAGGAAATATGGAAAAGTGGAAATATATCTATAAAAACAAATTTGAGAATGATAGAATCTTGCATTTTTCCGAGCTTGCTCTTTGCATGTGAGACATGGGCAATAAAGAAAAGAGACAAAGACAGACTGGAAGCATTTAAGATGAAGTGTTACCGAAATTTGTTGGGAATCGGTTAGAGGCAGAAAGTAAAGAACGAAACCATCAGAAATCAACTTTGAAGACAAAAAAGTGTATATGACAAAGTCAGGAAAAAAAATTGGGATTTTGTGATCACATTTGTAGAATGAGGGAAGACAGATTGATTAAGATGGTACTTATGAGGAAAAGAGATTGGAAGAAAAAAGTTGGTAGACCTGCAAAGAAATGGATAGATGACATTACTGAATGGACTAGTGTTGGTATTCTGAATTCAATAAAACTGGCCAAAGATAGAAAAGGTTTTTGGAAAGAAAAAAAGAAAAAATAAATGTAAAAAGCATGCTTATAGATGTACACTATCGGCCTCGACGGTCCCCCGATAGACAAAGGAGGATCATTGAGTGATAGATTGTTAATACCAACTGTTATTCATATCCTAGCTGGTTGGAAAGTGAAGACTCCACAGAATTTATAGCTTAAGTGTAGCGTCACTGTGCTTTTGTATCCATTAAACTGAATAAAATTGAAAAAACGTAGTGGGACAATTTCGATGACAAAACCTTCAAGCTTGATTGCATATATTTGCTTTATTCATATATTACAATTTGTATTTTTTTTGCTTACGTTAAAAACAGTTGACATGCTAAGACATGCAAACCTGCAACCTGGAAAAGAAATAATTTATTAATCTGAATTTTTTTTAAATTATCAAACATTTTGTCAGGCCATATTTTTTAAATTTATTAACTAAATTACATTTTTTTGCCAGTTTAAACATTTTAGCGCCATTAACAGTTCTCACTTGTCTGGCTTAATCTTTCACACAGCGCCACCTATATCAGTTAATTGTCATTCCCGGTATCTTCATATTTTGTACGAAGAAAGGGCGAAGAATATTGTTTTAATAATAGTCGAAAGGATAAATCTCCATTTAACGTGAGGAAATTCTTTTGTCATCTTTTACCTTTGTGAAAGACTTTAAAATTGTATTAATTGTGTGTTAATAAAAGCCGATTAGTGCTGTCGTTGTGTTTGTTGATGTGTAAGTGGGTTGTTGATGTTTGTTTACTACCATTTATTTACCTACCTCAATCTCTCTCTCGATGGTTCCACTAATTTCTGAAACAAACCATTCCTAGATTTCTTTTATTATACTTTCTACGGATTTGTCGTGTCAAATCAGGTTTTATGTTTTACGTGTTGTATTTAAATTAAAATGTCATATTGTCAAAATCACTGCAATGTTGTTTATACGGCTGCTTCTTTTGCTGTGATATTCTTACTTTGCTATACTTTACTATATTACTGATTTTAAATTCAATTACTAACTTATAATATTCAGAAGAGGCTGGAATGTGAGGAAGTTTTAAAGAACTTTTATATGGCCATCCAGAAATATAAAAAAAACACAAAAAAATATAATATGACTAAAACTTAACTTAATTAATTTAAAAGAGGTTAAAAAGATAATTTTCAGCAAAACCAATTTAATTTTAATTGCGAATATCTATTTGAAAAGCAAAAAACGATTTTAAATTAACAAGACAATAATCAATAAGATGTGAAAAATAAAAAAAAAGAAACTAATAAAATAAACAGTCGAAATATAAATAGGAAAATATAAAATAAACAAAGAAACATACAACTCTAGCTAGCATATGCATTTGTAAATAAATACTTATCATACACAATTGCACACATCCAGCGTGGCATTAGTAGTAATTTGAGTAGAGGTAGTAATGAGTGAAGAATGATTTTGTTTTGTTAAAATGAATGTTACTAACAGTCAGATTATAGTTAATTAATAAAAAATTATACCAAATAAAGTGATGGCTTTATTTTCACAGATCCAATATGACAACAAATATGCAAGAAGAATTACCTGAGGTGAATTTCACATGTGATTTTATTACATCAAATGTTTAATTGAAATGTCTATATATTCCTCTATTTCCATTAATTATAAACTAATATTTTCAATTTTTGTTTGATGCCATTTGCAGTGCCCATTGTGCATGGAGGCTTTTGAAGTGGATGATTTGAGTTTTATCCCTTGCACTTGTGGCTATCAGGTTGCTTATTCTTGCTAGTTAAAATTTTTTGTTGTCTAGATGTAAAATAAGTTGAATTATTTTAATGCCACACCTTAGATATGTAGATTTTGCTGGCATAGGATAAGAACGAATGAAAGTGGCTTATGTCCTGCTTGCAGAAAGGTATTATGTACATTTATTATTCATTTCAATCAATCCTCGTTTATAGTCTCCATCCATTGTGGATCGGACTATTTATTATTCATTTGTATTTTTCGTATTTTTACGTGCTTTCTGTTAAAATGGTAATTTGCTGCTTATTTTAGGCTGGAAATTGTTTTGTGGTTGCTGGTGTAAGTTCGTTTATTAAATTACTAAGATTTTAGATAGTGAGATGAGTTTTAGGAATGTATGTATTTTTCTCATTTTAAAAAATTATGTATAAAAATAAGTGTTATAATGTTATATTGCTTCTTCTTCTTCTTCTTCTTCTTCTATCTTTGAAAACTCCATAAGTCTACCAAGAGATGTTTTCACAGTTAGTATCTGGGGCTAGGCTAAAAATTTGGAAAGTTGTTTCCCAGTTTTTACAAATTATCTTTTTTTAAAATTTATTCTGAATGAAATACAGTGTAGCTTTATGATGAAATGCCAGTAATTTTTATCCAGGCTTATTTGCAGAGATTTTTAAAAATTATCTTCAATTTGAACAAAAATATAATACAAAGAATCATCGAAAAGGAATAATAAAAAAAAGTTATGGCTTTACTTCAAGGATTAATTTAAAAAGAAAAATGATTTTTTATTTTAAAACGGGGTCAAAAAAGCAGTTACTTTGTTATTCCAGTAGCCAAAATATGTCACGATATACATTTGAAAACATCTGCCAGAAATGTAAACCTGGATTAAAATGTACAAATATTTGCTCCATTTAATTTCACAATAATTTTGCACATATTGTAAACTTTTTTTTTTGCTGATTATTTTTTTTATTATGATATAAAAATTTGTAATTTCAAATATTATTAAACTAATTGATTTGTTCAATTGTTAGTTTATAGAATCATGGTTTTATTTTCTATGTATATTCATTTTTGTTTTAATATTTATTTTCTTCATTTTATAATATTGTCTTGCATGTTGTATTAAATTCTGTTTCAGATTTTGGTTTTTTCATTTAATATTAAAAAATTTACTTGACATGCGTGAAAAATTGTAATGCGAAATGCTTGTTTAAACTTTAAGTTTTGTCAAAAAGTTGTGTTATTCAGTACATAGCTCTTCATAAATCATGATGAACAAATATTATTGTTCATATTCGGTTCACTTGTGAAGTTGTTTCATCATATTTTTTTATTTGGATATTTTAGTTCACTAATGATATCGTGTGAAAAATAAATTACTAGGAAGGAATTGTTAACTTTATCTCCATTCATTCAAAAGTTTTTACATTGTAGGCATGGTAATAGTTTCACAATTTTTACTAATCGATGAATGATGCCAGATTTAGTCATATAACTTTTTTGTTACTTGTTAATTAAGTTTTAAGTTATTTCATAAAATATGCACTTTTCATTTTTCTTGCCTAGTTTTTGAAATTTTTTATTTTGAGCAATTGTTATTTTGTGTCCTTAAATCTAACTTTCAAAAACATAGAATAGCTGTTAAATGATCTAAAGCAAAGGCATATTGAAGAGCAAAGAAATAACCCCAGTGTTTTATGAAAATTATCAATAAATTTAAAAAAATAATTTTTTGGGTTTCTTTATTCTTGTTCAGTTTTTTAGTATTTTATTTTTTTTAAATAAAAAGTAGCTATGCATAATTGAATCAATTTTATAAATGCACGGACCTCATCCTAAGAGAAATTATAATTACATAACATGAAATGTTCTATTCTCTTTCAAATACTCCTGTCATGTAAAAGATTAAATTCTGGTTTGCTAGACTGCTTTTCCACTCTGCTGTGAAATAAGTTCAAAACATTTTTATTCCTATCTCAGCTATTTAAACACCCATGAAAACGCATCCATAATTAATGATTTGATGTTATGGTTTCTTGTTTATGATAAAATTTATATAATATACTGTAAAGCAAAGTTATATCCCACAAACTGGAGCTGGTCTGCGTGCCAACAACTAACGATCTCAATAACTACCACCAGAGTTAATATTGAAGTAAATGGGCAAATTTCATATATTCAAGTTCAACCAAACCTGTCAGAACAATTTCAAGATGTTCACTTTTGAAGGAAACCTATTTTAAAAATATATTTCCTCTTAAAACAAACTTTATACTTTGAAAGAAAGATAGATGGCCACATTGGCTGATAAAGTTGAGCTGATGTTGGATATTTCAAAATTATTAAATAAATCAAAATTAAATTAACTAAAACTCCATAAACGATATAACTTTTCTGTCTGATTGTTGTCAGCTTCACTCTCTGACAAGGGGTAGGTAATCCACAAATAGATTTAACCTGAATTAGATATCCTTTCATTGCTTCTTAAGATTACTTGAATGTTGTTGTATTAGAAGGGAAACCTTTACAATTTACTAACGACCAAGGACTGATGATGCACTTTAGTTATCCTTTATAGCTGCTTTGTGTAAGTTCGGAATATGATCCCACTAGTATAGCGATTATTCATGTAATGGTTAGTTTTTCACGTAGTAGTAGTAATAGTAGTAACAGTAGTAAAAGGAAACAGTAAAAATAAAACAGTAGTTATTTTCACACTTCAGTGCTTTTGCGTCCTGGTGAGCCAGGTTTTTGGCTTTCTCAGGTTTACATGATGGGTCATATTTATAATATCAAATCTCATTGCAGTCCAGGTTTATGATAATAATAATAATGTCATTTTATATAGCGCCATGGCAAGCGACTGAGGCGCATTATCATTATTACAACAAACACACGGTGCATAAATACACGTGAATCAACGCATCACACACTTTTGCATGTGATAGGCGGGGATCTTTTTGCATTCGAACCCGGACACTGCATCAACAATGCCAGGCACCTTAGCCATTACACCATCGCGCCGTCCAAATATGTTTATGGCGAAATATTACCAGTCATTCATTGCATGATGAATTGAATCAATAGTTTATAATAAAATAACTTGTATCATTTTTTTCAAATTCAACCAGCCTTACCCTGAAGATCCAGCACAATTCAAACCACTGACAGAAGATGAGTAAGTAAATGTTATTTTTCGTCAAAAATAACGCAAATACCAATTCCATTTTAAAATATTCGTATTTTAAGTATTTCAGTTCTCAACTTTCAAAACGTCACAATTGAAACCTTTTTGTTTCATTTGTGGTTTCTCGAAATTTATTGATTGTGCATTTGAAATGTCAAATTTTCAGAATACACAACATCAAGCGGGACAGGAGACAAAAAGAATCTCAAAGAAAACAGAAATCAGCTGAGAATAGAAAACATCTGGCTAATGTCAGGTACACATCCACATAACTTTTTTTATTTCCAACTTTTATTTGGCAACAGCGCAGAAAGTCAAGATAGAAAGAAGTATGTGCAGACAACCTTATCTAAATTGTGCAACATAAATGAAAAACAAATAACCTCAATATGAATGATTATTTATCGACAGGGTCGTACAGAAGAATCTGGTGTTCGTTGTGGGTCTTTCCCAAAGACTGGCTGACGCTGAAGTTTTGAAAAGGCACGAGTACTTTGGTAAGTTTGGAAAAATACACAAAGTAGTCATCAACCAAAGTACTTCTTACATTGGATCTCAGGTCTTTTTACTGCTTCTTTCCAAGAATTGTTTCCATTACCATTGTTCTTTTTAATTAGTTTTGCTGCTGGTTTTTCAATATTTTATCACTTTTCAGCAATGCTCAACAGCATTATCTGCCTCAATTTAAGTTGCATCAACAGACGCCTAGTTTATCTATAAACTAAGAGTCTGTGTCTCGTTATTATTTTGAAATGATACGATTCGATACGATATCGTCTTTTTGTCTCGAATGATATGAGACGATTGAGACGCCGTCAAAAATAACGCAAAATACCAATACAATAACGATACAGTATAGAGATCTCGATTCAAAATTTTGAAAACCGATGCTTGTTTACCGCAGTATAATATTTGGTGTGTGTCAAAAAATAAACGCTGGACCGGAACTTTTTAGAAATATTAAAATATGTATCGAACATCAAATCAAAACAGCACATTTTTCACATGCAGTCAGCATGCGCGGAATCAAAAACCTAATGGAATTAAAACACATGAGATATCTATGTGCATACTTGTATACACCCCTGTGTGTACGCGTTTACTCATTGTACATTTATTTGTTCACATGTGAACATTTATGCAAACGCATGCTTATATTATTAATTACTGAACAATGGACGTTTTGTATATATGCAAAATGATTTGAAGCGTGAAGAGTTACAATTGTATCGGCTTGGACCATCTGATTTATCATGATTATTTTGACTACTTTTAAATCACCAGACACTAACACCTAGCACAATCATTGAGAACTTTGTTTTTCGAAATGTGTTAACATGTGTGCTGCTTGCATGATTGCACATGTTTTCATTTTTAAACGCTTTAAAACTCACGACCGATCGACGAACAATGAACGTCATCAGGGTCCGAGCGCAAGTGCTTACGTCACATACCTACGGCCTGAGGATGCGCTCCATGCCATTCTTGTCGTCAACAACCTACAAGTTGACAACAGAACATTAAAAGCCTCCCTCGGTACAACCAAATATTGCAGCCACTTTCTCAAAGGCACACAGTGCACCAAAACTGTTCGTTGCTTTTATTTCTTTCCTGGGAATTTATTAAAATTTTTAATTATCAATTAATTTGATTGATGCATTGGTGAGGTATCGATTTCTTGATCATTGTATTAACTGACTGATTGGTATACAGATTGATCGATTGATTTGTTGATTGAAGCATTGGTTGATTGAAACACTGATTGTTTTATTGGTTGATTGAAGCATTAGTTGCTGCATTGGTTGAATGTCAAACAGGACTGCATGTACCTTCATGATCTCGGAGATGAGGCAGCCAGTTTCTCAAAGGAAGACATACAACAAGGGTCTGACTTCTTATGATCTCTGTTGATCTGTTCTGTTGATTCATCTAGCTATAATTTTCAATTTATCATTGTTCAGCTAACTCTGAAGAATTTTTTTTAACATTCAACTGCAGGAAGCATTTACAATATGAACAGAAATTAATTGAGCAATATTCTCAAAACCCTCCCGCGACGGAAAGCATAAGGATATCGAATAGGTTGATTTTTGTTCATTGTCGTTCACAGTTGATGTTTTTATGCTGTAACTAGGTTGCTGATTAGTGTGAGCCCACGTGAGCAAATTATTTTGAGTGCTTGAAATGTCTGAAGACCTTTTGGAATGGTGGGACTGCTGTGAAGAGTTATATTGAGAGAGAGTGGGGTGAAGGTGCCACCTAGTATTTCTACTCACAAACATAAGTAGAACGATTGAAAGTGTCTAAAGCTTTGGAAAAATTTAGAATGAATTTATTAAAGGGTGTTGGCATCAAACCTGTATAAGTTTAAGTGCAATTGGGACGTTAGTTTTCCAGATGTAATAAGCCTTTGTTGTGCTGATTTGGATGATGATAACGAAGCAACGACAACTATTTGGTGAGAAGCGTTTCTAACAGCAGTAGTCAAATTAGTTGAAGAGGAGCTGCCACTGCAAGTTGCTTGCTGACATTTCTCTTTCACTGCTCTTTTCGTCATTTGTGGTTACTGCATGTAGTGAATACAAACGAACTGCACATATTCATTGGAGGTCGTGTCCAAGGTGTGTTGGTTGGCCCGCAGTAATTATAAAGGATGAAACCTAATTACTATTACGCTTTCAGTTCTACACGTTGTTTAACTTAATTTAAATCGACATTTATGTTTAATAGCAGGGCAAACTCTTTTATGCCTAATAGAAATACAGCCTTGCTTGATGATGGTAATAAATAAAACTTGAGTGCATCTATGTAAATTATTAGTTAGCGTGGTGATATTTTTGTTTCACTGCTCTTTTTTGTCAACTGTTGGTTACTAAGCCCAGATTTAATTTATTTGTATCTGACACTTTTTAATGTTTGAAAAACGATTAATTTTAGGAGTTAACATGTGGGCATGAATCAATCATTGATTTGTATTTTCAGTGTAATAAATCACAACCAATGAACATAGATCAATTATATTGTTGATTTGAATATTTTTAATCTAGCAAATCAAAAAGTCCCAGCCCAAGCTCAAGTGATCAGACATCTCCGAGTCGTCTGACGATATTTTCTCCTGACGTCGCAGACTTATCACTTATCCATAAATCCTCTTCGTGTACTGAGACACCTGACACAAATACAACAACATCACCACTAACAACAACTTCAACTACGGCAACATCAACTACAGCATCATCAACAACTTCAAATGTAAACGCCCATGTTCATAATGGATTACTTGACAACATCGATTACATTGAGAACAGCAACAGAATCCAGTTGCTCGATGACTTAGCAAACTCAACCACATCAACATCAACAACAGCATCTTCCATCGTAGAAACACAAGTGAAATCATATACAACAGCAAACAACAACACAGCGAGCGAGGCAGTTGAACCTACAACAACAACAACAACATCAGACGAACAACCACAGCAACATGGTTTCCTACTTTCAAATGTTGACTCCTCATCACCAACAAATGGTATTACCGACAATTCATTGATTATTTTTTCATTTTATTCATTGATGCTTGTTAAGGCTTGTTCTGTGAAGTTGTTGTATGTTACATTTCAAGTGGGGCTTCAAATGAATGACTCTAACCTCGAAATGAGCATTTAGATCCACATGCCTCGTCCTTGCCTAATTAAATTATTCAATAACAGGTCATAAAAAGAAATAAATTTATTATAAGGATAATAATTTTAAAATTAAATAATTGATTTTTGTTATCCTTTGTTCAATGGACCAAATAGAAAATGCGAACACTTTAGATGGTGATCCAAATTGCAAGGATGATAATGAAGATGAGGATAGTGATGACGACAACGAAGATGATTTAGGTACGCTATGTTTCCATTTACGTATTCCATTCACTAATAAATGAGATGAGCTGCATGCATAGTAATATTATTATCAGAAAATAATTATGTAGCATATTCTTGATGATAATTGAACACTCACTGAACAGGGTTTGACCCATGGGATGTCTGCTCGAAAGGGCTGGCTGACATGATGGAAAAGGAGAAGATGCTTCAAAACTTGAACATTTTTGATAGAACGCACATGCCTGCAGTCAACAAGATGAATGCCATGAACCAGAATGCACTCACTGCAACACAGGCAATCCCAAATAATTACAATCATCACAATGCTTCTCTCTTTAATTCATTCCAAACGTCAACACAGCAACCTTCTTATGCACAGCAGCCGCATCAGCAACAGCAGCAACTTCATTGGGGCACGATCAACGGAAAATCTTTCTATCAGAGTAAGTTTCAATTCAATTATTACCTAGTGTCTTTTGCCTCAGTTTCAAAATGTGTCTTTTGTTTTATTTGTTATATGGCTTTGGTTCTAAATTGCAGATTTTCAATTTATTCTTGGCTCATTATCAATGTTTTGTGATGGTTCTTCAATCATTATTTGGCATTTAATTCATTAACTGTTTTGTAATGCGTGATTCTTTTTTACGTTTACACCGTTATATGCACAATATTGCTAACTAAACCACAAAAATTTTTATAAATGCAAAATTTATTGTAAATTTTTTTGCGCATACTAAAATTTGAAATTTAAACTTGCTAGACTTATGTGCACTGTCATTGAGCTCTTTATGATAAAACATTTGCGTAATAATTTTTTTTATTAATGAACATTAACAAATGAAATTGTAGTAGTGACACTGTTTCCCTACTATTCAGTTCGACACAACAGCAGTGGCAGCAAACTTATCGACTTCATGTCCTCAAGCAAGTCCTACAACAATGACGATTCAGTGTTAAATTCTGAATGTGCTGTGAGTCAGGTTTTTGTAACTTAATTTATGTACAGTCGGACCTCCTTATAACGAACTTTTATACAACGAAAATCTCTATATAACAAATTTTTTGTTTAATTTTTATATTTAATAAAAGTTTATTCCAAAACGTTACTTGCAATAAGCAAACCTTAGCAAAAACTCCATGTGTCATTACAAACTAGCTGCATTTTTGATCTTTCTCGCTTAACAACTGTTGATGCTTGTCTCTATATTACATTGACGACTTGTCTCACATAACTTGAGTCCCGATTAGTCCAAGTATCTTAGTTGCGGACTAGATTTTTTAACCGTTTTGTAAGCCGTTTGCAAGCAGAAGAAAATAAATAAATAATTTTTCTCTTTTAAAAAATTCGAATTTAAGATATGAAAAATTTAAAAACATTTTCAAATTTATTATAACGCGCGAAAACGGCATAGACCGTGGACGAACAATTTAAGTCTCTTTGTCAAACATTTTAACTGTAGACATTAGAACATCGTTTTTTTTTTGTTGGCACTGGATAAATTTCTGGGAAGTATATGTAAAGTTTGTAGATGTGCAGGTCTGTATGCTACACAATCTGGTCATTATTATTAAATAAACATCTGAAACCATGAAAACCATTGTTACTCATGATGAATAGACAGATCTTGTAGTTTTGTCATAATATAATATTTAAAAAATTTTTCTAAAAAGGATTGGCAAGACAACTTGAAGGCACTCCTACCAAACATAAACATCAGCTTCTCTCCATCACAAACGTCAGCTGCTGGTACACTCCAACAACAGCAGCAGCAAATGAGGAGGAACCATGTACACGCAGGTGGCATCACAATACATCCAGCACAAAATGGTTTCAATTCATATCATAACTTGCTGCACTCTCAAGACAATACAGGTCTGCATCATTCATTCCGCTTTAGTAAAATTATTTTTTTCCTTATAATGATGATGGTGATGAAACGTGCAGTAGGTAGGGCAATCTGATCCGATGGCTACAAAATATTCTTTTTTTTTCAAAAACACATTAAAACATTCACGCTCTTATTCTGTTTCTTTTTTTTTTATCTCTGAATTTTCTAAAATAACTAGGGATGGTTTGATGTCGTAAAATCAATTCACTTTCAATTTTGCTTATTTTAAGGTAGAATAATTTCGATTTTTTTCAAATAAAAGTCCACCCGGTAATAATTTCCATCTTACATCCCATTTTATTGGCACATTTTTACAATTAAAATGTTAATAACATGTTGAAATAAGCTTTCAAACAAAATTACCCGCCTCGCGTGTTATGACGCATGTTCGGGTTTGTGTCCGTTTCGCCGGTCATTTATGATCTGACCAGGTTTGGAGAAAATTTTACTAGGCAGGCACAAGCATAGCAGGAAGTGCCTGATACTTTCTAGCCACTTTAGTTATTTTTGGGAAGCACGACGCACCGTAGGCCCACCTCTTACAAACAGATTGTAATGGTGTTTTTTGCTTTAAAAAAAGTTGATTTCAATTGTTGGTAATATTAACTTAAATGAAACTACCATGCAAAAAATTGTTAGAAAATTGAAATCAAATAAAACTTTTGGTAGTTGTAGTAATTGTAAATAACTTGGTCAATAAAATATAAGCAAAAATTTAGAGCATGAAACAAAAATTACATTGAGATAAGAAACAATGATTAATTTTAAATGACATCAAACAAACAAATAAATAAATAAATGCAGACTGGTTAAACAGTGGAGGCAGCATGTTGAACACAAATCAGAGCATCACATCAGACCCTGCCATCATCAGCACCGGGGTTGTTACAGATGGTTCGTTCTTCTTTGCCTGTGTGCTTGTCTTCATTTGTCTATTCATTCAAATAACACAAACAGCTACCCCACTACTCATTCATCGGTTAATACCATTTCACCGTTAATCCACTCGATCACCATTTTTATTTTACTACATCAACGGATGCCACAATCTCCTGATCAATTAATTAATTAGCGCCGTTATGTTAACAGTAAATGTACATTTTTAATATAGGCTATCATTGATAAAATTTATTTTTGAATGTTGGTGAATGCATCATCATCATCATGCAGGCATGTCTATTCCCAGATGGATGGACCAGTACAGCGACCTGGCTGCTGATGCATCGTGCCACATCCAACACCACAACCATCTTCAGTACCGACAGCAGAACAATCATTACCACAATTATGGAATGCACACTGAACCGCAATCGAGTTCAAGTTGGGTGCAGCAGCATACATCCAGGTACCCTCCACCTGGCTTTGCATCGAGCAGGCAACACACTGAAGCAGCATCTGAACATCGTCTACCAGCCATCTAACCAACATCGTGGTCCTCATCATTTTTTAAATTAACCATTAATATTCTATCAATTTAATGTTGGTATATTTTTCGTTGCATTTTTCATTTTATGTTTGTGCTATTTGATAGTTTTGTTTATCTCTGTCCTCTTATGGATTATTTGAAGTGGATTTAAAGGGCAATGGTAAACTCTTTGCTAGGTTCTCACAGATGCTGTCTATTTTAACCTGAGGCTTTACTGAGTAATCTGCTTCATGTTTATGCCGCGTTATTTTCCGTTCTGATTTTCAGTTTAAATAGTAAAAATAGTGATCTGCTGTCAGATGAATATTGAATAATGGTCTCTGGTTATTAAATGCTTCCATCAGTGCGTTCTCTAAACTATTCATAGTAAAATTTCTTAACAATTGTGACTGAATAAAAATAGAATTATTTTCAATTATGCAGGTGTGTGAAGAAAATTGATCAAAACGTCAGAACATACCAAGATTTCAATTCAACATAATTATGAAAATAAAAAATCTTCAATTTTTCTTTTTTAAATAGAAATAAAATGTATGTTTTTTAAATGTTTTACTTTTTGATCGTGAAATTTGTATCCTAACTAGTCGCCTTTTTTAATCGAGATTGGGTGGACAAGTAGTACTTAAGTGGCGGTCGTAAGGTCGGCGCCGACTGGCAGACATCCAGCGTGATGTTTCAATAAGGAAACGATTGGCGTTGTGGTGATATCTTTCAGGTGTGTTCGATGACTCGCTCTAAGGTTGTTAGCTTAACGCCAATGGCGTTCACGTTTTTGCGGCTTTCCAATGTTCCGTTTTGGTTATTGGTAATTTTTAATGAGTTGGGCTTTTAAGTATATTGCAACTTCCTGACAATATTGGGAGAGCTAGTTGTTTCTGATCGCCACCATGTGGCCTCCCAGTTCTTGCTCTTCAAGTTTCGTGATTGATCTACGTGGTTTGTATTTCCAATTTTAAGTCCTAAGGGTTTAACTAGTTTTTTCGAAACTGATAATCTCCAGGGTCGTACGCAATCTATCGCGTCATGGCATTTCACACAAGTGTTGCTCTACCGTATTGTTTCCATTAGAAATAAATTCTACTTGGAAATTAGTGAGAACAGTGTCGTCGCTGTACCCCTAATCGCTGCACCCCTAATAAGTGCAGGTTAAAAATATATTTATTTAATTTGAACTGTTGACGCGGTCGGCGCTAATGAGTTGGGAATATATTTCAATTTTGCTATAAAATTTTTTCTTTAAAAATAATGTTGCAAAAACGCGGCAGTAGTCCAATGTATTTTTTTTTATAATTTTTTTGTACAATACAGTGAAAACAAAGAATGCAAAATTGTGTTGCATCACATATGATTCAGTTTGTGAAAAGGAGGAAGGTATTAATTGATTTAGTAGTCTTTAACGCTGTGGAATGGTAACTCTGCAGTCACGGTGTCTAACTGGGAGGGAATTGGGCCACTGAACAGCGCAGATATTCAGGAAAAGAAGAAAGAATTCCACGACCAAAGCTCATTGCAAATTACAACAAATATGGGAGTGGTAGACAGTGTGTGACCATAAACAGGAAAAATATAGAAGGATAAAATGGTTGTGGGCAATTTTCACCAAATTCATTGACATAGCAAAGTCTAATATGCTTGGAGATTATGTCGTAATCTAATTGATCAAAAAGTTTATTTGCTGAGTTTTTAAAGAAATTTAGCTATTTCGCTTCTTGCAGCTTGTGATGAACTAATACTATTAGTCCATGATAAAGTTGTAAGTTTAACACACCTAATTGCTCTAGGACGGCCATCTTCTATCCAAATATTGTCTTTGAATGAACAGAAAAAGGAAAAACTGGACACATTCTTCAGACAAATTCAGAAAATAAAGAAGTAGATGTTAGAACATTGTCACAGTCAGACTGCTCCAGTTCATACAAAATGTTATGACAATTGTCATAAAAATCTTTTATAAATGTTTTGCCTTAAAGTACTACTGTTGCGTTTTTGAAACATTTTATACAGCTTCACATAATAAAATATTTTCTAAATTTAGTTCTTTTCTTCTAACTAGGTAAATCAGTTGTTCTAAATTAAATTTAGTTACTCTGCGCTCAGCAGAAATATGTCTGGCCCGTAATGTAATGGGTTAAAACGTATTGTGCAGTTTTTTCTAATTTCTTTTTAGTTTTTTTACATAGAATTTTTTTTGAAAGGGACTTGTACTTTGGTTAATGTTGTATATTTATATTGTTGTATGCTGGTGTATATTGTTGCGGTTGCGTTTGATGATGAGAACACCGAACCAGAAGAGCGGTGAGCGGGAGAAGAAAAGAATAGTATTCGTTTGGATAGGCTGGACACGTTTCAAATTTATATTTGAAATTCAAGCGTAACAAGAGCTTATTTGACACATATTTGTTTTACAAATACTTTGACGAACCAGAAGAGCAGTGAGCCAGAGAAGAAAAGAATAGTATTCGTTTGGATAGGCTGGACACGGTTTTCGTCCCTACCGGGGACTCATCAGCAGCCCGAATACCTGTCAGATTAGTTATCGCAGTTTCTTATAAAGCCCGCACAAATCAACTCCTTATTTCGTGGTGTTTTATTTATTAGTCTTTTTAATCGCTAGGATTTTTAAACCGACAATATGTTGATGCTGCGTGTTTGTTGATGTTGTATCTTAATTTTGTGTGTTTGTTGTATATTTCTGTCGTCATATCATACCTCATGCTTGATTTGATTATTTGGCTACTGATATAAAGACTAAATTACAAAACATAATTTTTTTTAAGCAAACGATTCACGATGGAATAATTTTCATGAAAAAAATAATTAATTTACATAGTTTAAATATTCAAAAAATGATTTATAAATTTTTTAAAAGATAGAATAGTTTCTGATTTAAATAAACACGGTTATAACTTCTGATGTCTGAAGATTTCACCATATTATTGATCCGTACTTGAAGAGTAGTCAACCAAGTTGTTCAATGTGCTTCTTTTGCCGCTGAAACAAGTTAAGAAGGCATTTAATGATGACACCAACAATATAATAATAATAATAATAATAATAAATTTTTGTTATTGTTGTAGTTATTATTAATACTACTATTTTGATCACAGTAAAAACAGTCATAATAAATAGAGCACTGAATCATGAACTGACTGTTTGTAGGGGTTGAAACCACTACTCCTCATGTTGTACTTCATGCCATGTCTCGCTTCCAGTTCTGCCAATCTCAGATCAGCTAGAGTCCTGCGAGGTCTGAAAAGTAACATGAAACACGCAACATAGCAACACGCGATATATAGCAACATGAACATGCAACTTAGCAGTGTGTAACATTACAACATACAATGTGATGCAATGTGACATAATGTGAAAGGCGTTAAATTGGACTGGATTTCATTCATAGTGATGTGATTTAAAGTGATGTAATAATATAAACGTCATAATATGTTAAGTGATGATAAAATGGTCTATCACACTTCTAAAGTTCAGAGGAATCAACAATACGCAAACAGCGAGTATGACTCCGTGCTACATGACGCATCACATAATGCGTGTGATATGTAGAGATCTTTTTGTCATGTTAGAACCCGGTCACTGCGTAACAGGTCATCAGGCGACCTTAACCACTTGGCCATCACGTCGCCCATGAGGTTGCATGATGTCATGAAATGTAATTTGATGTAAAGTGGGGCAATATGGTAGTGGTACCATGTAACGTCGGATACATTGAAATGTGATGCATCCAAATACATCGGAGTAGTGTAATATTGTAATGAAATATAATTACAGTCGCGATAAAATCATAAGCCCATGTAAAAATTAAAAGATTAATTACGAATAATTATGTTACTTGAAAGAATTTTCCATAATATAAAAAGAATTAAATAGTATTAATCACTGAAATGTGAATAGTGAATAACTGTTATAGACAAAACTATTAACCATTAAAAATATCCACACAACTACGAATGCAACTACAAACAAAAATTCAAAAACGCACCACTTAAATCAAGAGCACCCAAACCAAACATCCATCCAATCAACCTCAAGATCACACAAGACAAAAACACAGAACCCTGAAAATCGAACATTCATAGCGTACCTTATTGACCCAGTTTTAAATAATAAAACACCATTACGAAATGTAATGCAACGTGATGTGATGTTTTATGATTTCATACCACGTGATATGGTAAGAAAAATCTATATAAGCCCTTATATATATATATATGTTGGTAATAGACCATAATTTTTACAATATTCTATAAATTCTACCGAATGTTTGGCGTTGATATGTTTGTAGTTCGTTTTTTCGATTTTTCTCACTAAAGTTTTTTGGTGCTTAACCAACAACGAAAACAAAGAAGTAATAAAAACTAGCATCGTAAATAGTGACAAAGAAGAATATGATGCTATCGATGAAGAAAAGGAGACCAAAGAAGATGACCAGCCATTAAAGAAACCTGACATCTAATTCGCATCAAAGTTCAATTTTACAACACCAAAGTTAATTTTTACAACGTCAAAGTTCATCTTGAGAAAGTCAATATTTCCCTATATATACAGCAAGAAGCACTGATGATGATTCATTCGGAATCGAAATATGGCCTTATTTGCAGCATGAATTCGAAAAATAAGTTTATTTTGAATTTAAATAAATTAAACGTTCACCAAAAACTTTAGTGAGAAAAATCGAAAAAAACGAACTACAAACATATTAACGCCAAACATTCGGTAGAATTTATAGAATATTGTAAAAATTATGGTCTATTACCAACATATATATATATATATATATATATATATATATATATATATATATATCATGGTGTCAAATTGACTAAACTTAAAAGTCATTTTTCATCACTGCAAGCTGAAGTGCATTTTTACAAAATAATTCAGAATGATTTAAAAACTTACAGAACAAATTTGAAGACATAATATATTATCAATATAACACGAGAACTTGTTTATTAAATGTTAATAATGTTAAACAAGCAGCGGAAAAGAAAATGCACAAACTAGTAAATGTTTGATAACCAAATGCTTGCTCAGGTTAAGAAGTTAATTACACCCGAAATCAACTAAAACCAACCATTTTTAAACATCAACGACATACTAAATGATATCAAACAAACAAATTTTTAGTCTAAAACATATGTAAACATTTTGCAGTCGTTTTTACATCTGAAGAGTGGAACTACTGTTAATGAAATGTCTCATGAATTATATTTCTAATTCTTAAATTATTAAAAATGAATGGTTATGAACATCCGTGGAAGGTGAATAAATTAACTTTATTATGCTACTTCAGCGAACCTGCCATTGAGGGAGGCTGAATTTTGTTTCATTCTGACGTTTATTTAATTGAATGCTTTGCAGATGTTAGGCGTCCATTTAAATTCTTTGTTCTCTGGCAAAAAAGAAATGCTGATAGTGTGCATTTCATTTTTCATTTTAAAAGACACAAATTTTATTTATTTTTAATGCAAATGGCACAAACTGCATTACAAATTGAAGTTTAATAACATAATCCAAATATTTTTTCGTTT